GCGTACTGTTTTTATCATTGTCTCACCATTTAACACACAGTCATTGCCATTCAAACAGAATCCTATTTTTTCTTTTCTTTTCTTTTCTTTATTTATTTTATATAACCAAGTCCATTTAAATGAAAACAAACATTTATAGACAATCTTTGGGAATTTGGGCGTCATTTTTTCCAAACTACTTCCTGCTGGTAAGGGGCGCTGTCGTGGGGGATTCTTTTTTTTTTTTTTTATGCATATAGAGTATTTTTTATTTAATTTTATATAACAAAGTCCAATTAAATGAAAACAAACATTTATACACAATATTTGGGAATTTGGGCGTCGTTCTTTCCAAACTACTTCCTGCTGGTAAGGGGCGCTGTCTTGGGGGATTCGAAGAAGATTCAGATATCCTAGCTGTAGTCTGTAGGGCTGTTTTGTCCAGCTGTTTGGAATGTAGGATCAGCTTGTACTCTGTTTCAGGCGGTCTGGTGTGATCAAACCACATTAGTCTGGAAGGAATCCACATCTTTTCATTTTCTGTGGAAACAAAAATAGAAGTCCTTTTCCCCAGTAACTTGTTCTTCAACTTAAATTTTGGAGTCAAAGCGTTTTTTTTTTTTTTTTTTTTTTTTTTTTAATTATTTTACATGTCGATCCCAGTTCCCTCTCCCTCCCTCCCTCCCTCCCCCCAAGCCCTCCCTCCCTCCTTCCCTCCCTTTTGCCCTCTCTACCCTCTCCCATGCACTCTAAACACCCTCCCCTCCCAACCCCCTGTCGTGGGGGATTCTAAGAAGATTCAGAAATCCTGGCTGTAGTCTGTAAGGCTGCTTTGTCCAGCTGTTTTGAATGTAGGATCACCTGGTACTCTGTTTCAGGCTGTCTGGCTTGATCAAACCACATTAGTCTGGAAGGAATCCACAGCTTTTCATTTTCTGTGGAAACAAAAATAGAAATCCCTTTCCCCAGTAACTTGTCCTTGAACTTAAATTTTGGAGTCAAAGCATTTTTTTAATTTAATTTATTATTTTACATGTTGATCCCAGTTCCCTCTCCCTCCCTTCCTCCCACCCTCCTTCCCTCCCTTTTACCCTCTCTGCCCTCTCACATGCACTCTAACCACCCTCCCTTCCCATCCTTAAAAACACTCTCAATAAACTTAAGGACTCTACCTTGCCTCTTGTAAATAACAGTTTCAGAGCCATGTTACACCATGCCCTCTTTGTCCTTAACTTCCTATGTTATGTCCTTAACTTTCTATGGCAAAGACTGCATCTATCTGCAGTCTTTTACACACTATCATCTAGTTGTGCCAGCACCATATGTTGAAGATGCTTTCCTCCTTCAATTGTATAATTTTAGCTGTTTTGTCAAAAATCAGGTGTTCGTAGGTGTGTGGGTTAACATCAGGAGTTGCAATTGGATTCCATTGGTCTACCTGTCTATTTTTGTGCTAATACCAAGGTGTTTTCAGGACTATAGCTCTATACAAGAGCTTGAAGTTGGGGATGGTAATACTTCTTGACATTCCTTTATTTTACAGGGTTCTTTTGGCTATCCTGATAACTGCTTTCTTACAGTTTCCAGGACCACCAGCTCAGGGAAGGATATGAGCAGAACCACATCCCCTCCTATTGATCACCAATTGAGAAAATGTCTTACAGCTGGATCTCATAGAGGCACTTCCTCAACTGAGGCTCCTTTCTGACTGATTACTCTAGCTTGTGTCCAGATGATGCACAAGAGCAACTATTATAGTAAAAATTAATACTAGTAGGAAATATAATTTATTTGACTGTGTATGTGAAAGATGATTTACCTATTCCATTTGGATCTCTCTTTTTTACATAATTTTTTTTAAAAATTAGAAACAATCTTATTATACGTATTAATTCCAGTCCTCTCTCCCTTCCATGCTCCAATGCCCTCACCCACCTTTACCCATCTTAGGGAGGGTGGGGAATTCCATGGGGATCATTAAAGTCTGTCACATCATTTGGGGAAGGGCCTAGGGACTCCCCCATGTATCTAGGCTCAGAGAGTATCCCTCCATGGGAATGGGCTCCCAAAATCCATTTGTGCACTATGGGTAAATAGTGGTTCCACTACCAGAGGCCCCATAGACTTCCCAGGCCTCCTAACTTACATCCACATTTAGGGGTCTTGGTTCAGTCCTATGCTGGTTTCCCAGCTGTCAGACTGGGGTCCATGGGCTTCCATGTGCTTAGGACAGCTATTCCTGTGGGTTTCCCCAGCATGGTCTTGACTCCTTTGCTCATCAACCCCCCCTCTCTACACCTGGATTCCAGGGATTGGCTAAGTGCTTAGCTGTGGATCTCTGCTTCTGCTTCTTTTAGCTACTCGATGAAGGCTCTATGATGCCATTTAAGGTAGTCATCAATCTCAATATAGGTTAAGGACATTTAAGGTTGCCTCTCTACTATTGTACAGATTCTTAGTTGGGGTCATCCTTGTGGATCTCTGGACATTTCCCTAGTGTCAGATTTCTCTTTAAACCTATAATGGTTCCCTCTATTAATGTATCTCTTTTCTTGCTCTCCTCTATTCTTGCCCCCACAAGTTCCGAGCACTCTTTCTTGCCAGCATGGTCCCACAGCTGTGTCAGCCCCAAATGAATACACACGACTTTCTTTAGTTATGAAGCTGTTGGCCAATGAATGGGACTTCTTATTGGCTAGCTCTGACTTAATTATTGACCCATTTTTTTTAAAGTCAATCTATGTGTATTGCCACTAGGCTATGGCTTCCCATCATGGTCTTATTCCTTCTAGCAGCATGGCAACTCTGGCCAGCTCCTTTCCCAAAATTCTCATTTCCAGTCTCAGCTATCTTCTTGATTTATTGGGTGAACAGTGTTTAATTAATCAGTAATTAAAAGAAACATATACAGAAACTCATCCACCATCATTTACTCTTTTATGTCTAAATTAAAAGAAGTGTTTAACTTTAACATAGTAAAATTATATATATATAAAAGAGTTATCAAGTAAGAACTATAGTTAACCATAGTAATATTTAGTTCATTAACATTTAGCAAGATTTAAAGAAAATATTCTTTGTGAGTCTAAAGTCTTATATGTAACTTATCATAACTAAGGAAAACTGTGATCATAACTATCTGTCTTCAGCTCTATTAAAGACTACAGAAGGTATATAAACTCTAGAATTGACAGAGACATCTTGCTGCCTGAACAGTTATCCAAAGTTCCTCTGTAACGCTGAGCATCTTTCTTCTGCCCATAGGCTATAGTATGTCTGGCAGACTTTCCATCAAAGCAGAATATTTGAAACTGTCTACATGTATTGGCAGTTTGTCAGTCATTTTTCTCTGTGTTCTGCAGAATGTCTGGCAGACTCTTCCATAACGCCGGAACCCTGCAGCACTGTCTCATCTTGTTTTTTCAAGTTCAGAGTTCACTTTCCTGTTGGTCCTGCATGTTCACCTTATACAGCGTACATACAAACAGTCCAGGCAAGAGAAATTTATTGCTCAAATGGCTATTTCTGGCATGACAAAGGCAAAATCCACACAAAAAAACTGTCTCACAAATTGAACAAGCACACACACGTCATGAAGTACAAAGGAAGCTGTTTGATCCGAGGAATGGAATCACTACTAAGATGAGAAGTAGATGTATTTGCCACCTAGAAAATATCAGCAAAGGACATGCTACACATGTGTGAATTGCCACAATAAAACCATTGAAGCTGAATGTTAATTAAAACATAACTAATTACACACAAAAAAACCATACTGAATCTGGAACGTGGGAATTTTCATTTGCATTCTCCACAAAAAAGGTGAATTTGTTCTGTGCTCCTATGAAAGACACTTCCTGATATATTCCTCTGTATGCACATTTTAAGGCCCCAGAATAGATCATCACAGAAACAGAAGTCATGTACTTTCAGGATGCTTTATATTAAATGTAAAAATGAGAGTAATAGTCGTTTGCCTCATCTCAAATACTCAATAAGACATATCACCATCCACAGCACTGACTTGACCTACATTTGTCCTACTTTCTCTGTTGTGTAAATACAATGAAAGAGACTCACAAGCCCACACTTATCAGAACACTCATTGGCAGTGCACATTCCAAAATGCAAACTAAATAGATGATGAAGAAAATGGCATAAGAAGGTCCCTTTTGAGTTTCTGTTTACTTCTAAGATTCCCAACAAAAGACTTCTTCAAAGCCATTATTGGAATGGAAACTGAGAAAAAAAATGAGGCACAAAGGTCTGGTGTTCTCTCTGGGTCTTGTTGAATAATTGAAAATCAGCATTTAACATTTAAATGAACTCTAGTTCTGTGATGAGCTGCAGTTTGGGAAAAACAGGATTCAAAAACATTCAGCATGTGGTCTGTTTAGTTGTTTTCAAGACAATGGAAGCATGGGCTGTGGATACACATGTGTACCTTTCACTGGTGTAGCATCACCCACACTGAGCATGCTCTGCAGAACACAATTGGTCTAAACATGCAGCTGCTTTTTGATGATATGAATTTTGTGATATAATTCCCAGTGTGTATCCATAAGTTCTGACTCAGTGTTTCCTCCTGAACAAATAACACATGTCTCACTGTTCATTTCCTAACAATATCCACTGACATCATTTCTAAAAGTGTTAGCATAAACAGATTGATGAAGAAGTCATGGGAGCAAATTTCCTTAATATGGCATCATGCCACGGACATTAATTGCACAAAGATGAGTGATGTCATGAAACTAGCTGAAATATCTTCATATGTAATTATTGACCAATTTTCATCACAAGGGATTTGGATATCAGATGCACAACCCCAGGTGAAAGAGTGTCAATGTTTTCTTAATGGGCAATGAAACAACTGCACAAAAAAGGAAAGCAATAATGAATGCACAAGTGGCACCTCCTATGGTCACATACATAAAAGCAGGTGGAGTTACGTGAGTGTGTATTTGATGTACTGCTCTGCATAACAATCCACACTTTTCTGGATTAGAGCAGAAAAAAACATGTTCACTTTGATTTTTCTCTTCTTGTACCTGAACAATTTTCATCCAGTGCTCAGTTTCATTCATCCTATGTGCTACTGGAGAATAAAGGATAACGAAGGGAAGGAAGGAAACACGGACACAGGTTGTTTTTTCGCCCTTTCAGTTGTACCAAAGGGGAAAGAATATTTCAAACACTTTTTAAATGTACAGTAAGTAAGTTTGTATTTTCTGTGTAAATGTCATCATGAATACTTCATCAGGGCTTAGGGGGATTAGGGTCAGAGCACTACCTTGAATATTCTGCCCTGTTTTTCCAGCCTGCACAAGAAACAACTTCAAATTCTTGTAGAGACTCAATGCTATTTTTCTACTTTTAATTTGTCCAGAGTTGTTATGTTATGTGAATAAGATATATATATATATATATATATGTCCACAGGTTACATGGCACAGTAGCAGGTGATATCGTATCAAAAGAAACCCCATTCGACTTCAGTGAATATCATTCTGAGTGGGTACAAGAAATTGACTTGAATCATCCAATGGAACTTTCATCGATGTGTATGGCCTAATGCATGTGCAAGGGCAACTGATGTTTGTGGCACTCATAGCTGCAGACAGTTTTCACATAAATATTCAGTTATGTGACACTGATCTTTTCGGTGACAATTTTTCTGTGTGGTAATAAATATTCTGAAATTATTTTTATTTAAAAAGTGTATAGATAAATAACTACATTTATACATGAAGACATCACAGTGGTAAATTTTTGAAGAGTGAAACAAACTGTATTTAACTCAAAGTAAATTTCTCAGAATGAAGGAATCTGTTTGATGTTTATGGGTCACATGATATGAAATGAATAGAAAAGAACAGCAGTTATCATTCTTCACATAAGCCTAAACAGAAATTGGTACTATTCTCTTCTAACTGACTTGTTACCCACAATATTACCTAAAATCTCCACATTTTCCAATTTGTAGTCTTCTATTTACAAAAATGTAACACTAGAACATAAAAATTGCTTTATGATGCTAGTATTGTGTTAGTGTAACTAGAAAGGTATTAAAAATGTTTCAAGAAGAAAAATATGTTGCTCATATAAGCCAAGTGTGAATATATGACTTGCCAGCGTGAGCTCAAAATTGATGAACAACAGTGAGGAGGAAGTACATAATCTTAACTTCTGTCCTCTGCACCATGCACAGGTTTATTCTTGTGCATTTGAGGCTGTTCTAGTCTACAGCAAATTACAAGTCAAAACAGTTTGACCATTTCCCATTTATGGCATAAATGAGCATTAATCCCATTCATAAACACATGAATATAGTCATACATCTTTACCATATATCTCTGGTATTTGAATTTATTTAAAAGTAAATCTTATAAAAAAGATTTTATAGCTGCAATTGATAAACTAGAAAATATAATGAAAGGGATAAAGCTGATATGTGGGGATATATTGTTATCCAAATCAGACATTTATAAATGCCTTAGCCAATTCAGTTAATTTCTGAAGAAACTATCATAAACTCTATGGTTCACACATCACATGCATTTTAAATTTGCTCAACAATTTAAAAATAAAAAATAATCAGGTTTACTGTTTGGTCAAAGCCTGTGCCCTGGTATTTACTTTCCGAGAAAGCACTAAAAAACCAGAGATATATAAAGCTGTCTGTGGAAGATGTTGATACTTCAACATTTATATAGGAGCTATAATCTCACGAACTTTTAAAGATTTTGTAATCTTCCAACTTCTTATGTAATTTCAGCCTCACAACACAGAACATTTATTTAAGTAATAGGGAGAGGTTGGGAATGCCATCCAGTATTATATGCACTTTTATATCCCTTCTAAACAATGTACCCTTTTACAGAAAATCATCTGAACACCATAAATATGCACTGGCCTTAGCTTTTGCCGTGGATGAAGTCAACGATAATCCTGATCTTTTACCAAATAAATCTTTACTATTTGACTTCCAATTCCATGATTGTCTGACTGAGGAAAAATTGTACGATCTCATTCAATTAACAGAAAAAACCAATGACGATATAGCCCCTAATTATATCTGTAGTAAAGGGACCACATGTGGAGTGCTGCTTTCAGGACCATACTGGTCAACCTCTTCCATAATTTATAAATATCTGAACATGTACTATTATCACAAGGTGAGAATTTGTGGGTTGTGTTTTCAATAAATCTGTCTCTGTTGCTACCAATCCTAGATGGAAACTGGACTTACACTTATGTCAAACTGTGTAGTTTGAAGTTGAGGTTATTATTTCAGAGAATTTGTGGGGCTTCATTTCCTTTTTTCAAATAGAGATGAGGGAAGGCAAAACAGGTAAGGGGGTATTTTACAACTCTGTAGAACACTGTGCTTAATGAGTTCTTAGGATTGCATGCAACTCATGTTGCTCCCTGTGTTCTAGGTAGTCCATATTACATATGGACAGTTCCAACCATTCCTGAATGATCACGAACAATTTCCAAATCTGTATCAGATGGCCCCCAATGACACATCTCTAGCTGTTGCCATGGTTTCTCTCATACTTCACTTCAGCTGGAACTGGATTGGGCTGGCCATCTCAGACAATGATCAGAGTATACAATTTCTCTCATATTTGAGAAGAGAGATGGAAAAGAATACAGTCTGCTTTGCCTTTGTGAATATGATTCCAACCAACATGCATTTATACAAGTCAAGAGCTGAAGTGTATTATAATCAAATCATGACATCATCCACAAACGTTGTTATCATTTTTGGTGACACAGACGGTTCTCTAGTTGTAAGCATTATAATGTGGGAATCTCGAGGTATACAGAAAATATGGGTCACTACCTCACAGTGGGATGTGACTACAAGTAAGAAAGACTTCAGACTTGACAAACCTCATGGGACTCTAGCTTTTGCAAATTACCGTGGTGAGATTTCTGGTTTTAAAACTTTTGTTCAGACATTGAACCCTCTCCAATACTCAGATGAAGTCTTGGCGAGTCTGGAGTGGATGAACTTTAACTGCGAAGTCGCAGCTTCCAAATGTGAGACACTGAAGACCTGCTCATCCAACACCTCATTGGAATGGCTATTGGAAGGGACTTTTGACATGGCCTTTAGTGATGGCAGTTATGACATATACAATGCAGTGTATACTGTGGCTCATGCCTTTCATGAGATGTTTCTTCAGTCAAGGGACAACAGTAAAGGGCCTGGTTCTAACTGCTTGAAGTTAGTGTTTCTTCTCTTGGATAGTTTGCTGTCATCAATGTCATGGTTTTTAATGGTCTCTCAGATGCCACAATCTAGGAGATTAGGAAATAGTTCCCCAAATATAAAGATTTCTGAACATTTTTTCAGTCTGAGAAAGTAATTCTAGGTTGGTAGAAATCCCTACTCCAAAGGCAATTTAGTGAAATACAGTTTGTCGATGAAAATCCGTGAGTTTGTTGCAAAGCATCTCAATATCATCAGCCATACTCTCATTCTTGAAACCTATCATTCCTACCACCTACATTCTCTCCATGAAGAGAAAATGTTCTTATGTTCGTTTATTTTCAATTGTGTGATTATCATTGTAGGGGATGGTTATCACAAATGGTCTGAACTGATCCTGGTACTGATTCTAGGTTGTGAAAACTTACTTGACACTATGAGAATAATTACACAGGAAATAATGTTATGGTTCAGTTCAGTATGCACACGTTTATCTGAAAGTGTGAGTAGATGGTTCTCAGTATATATGGGTGTTTGTTTTTATGCTTCTGAGTTTCTGTGTGTATGCCTTTCCTTATGTGTGTATATATGTGTTTCTGTGTATCTGCATATCTATCTATCTATCATCTATCTATCTATCTATCTATCTATGTCTTTCTAGAAGTGAGAATCAAGTTTCTTTTGTCAATGTCACTCTGTATGCATTTGGGATTCTGTGCTTGTCTATATGTATCTATGTGTATTTTTTATTTTATGGGAATTCTTTCAAATATGTATATCTGTGTCTCTGTGTATGTGTGTCTGTATCTGTCTGTCTGTGGATTGGAGTATAAATTTTCTTCATCAATATCTCCCAGTATGGTGTTTGTATCATTGTATGTCTCCTTGTGCTTATATGTCTATGAATTTGTGGTTGTATGTGAAAGTCTGTGTAAGTTTTTGCTGATTTCTGTTTCTGTGTGTCTGTTTGGCTTCATAAGACTCTCTGCATTTGTCTATAGTTCAAAAATGTCTAGCTTATATGTGTATATGTGAGTAAATAATATGTTGCTACATTATGTATGTATGTATGTCTGTATGGATATGAGTCATCTTGTATGTGTATGGTTTTGTGCACATTTCAAATGTATGCCTTTGTGTTTGATAGTTTCCTCTGAGAAAATACAGTTCTAGGAACATTATGATAATTTCATTAATTCACTTGCTTTCATTGAGATTTCTCACCTTTCTACCTTTAAAGCTGAATTTAAGATGAAATCAGAATACATTTTCCAACTTCAAGAAAGTGCACATACACTACTGAATGCTTCCTGTCTTTCAAATGTACTTGTTTCATAGGAAAACCCACCTCAGTAGCAATGCTGGGAAGAGGGTGAATATGAACCAGAAAGAAAATCTGCAGCCAGACTATGACATTTTCCAGATCTGGAATTTCCCAAATGGTCTTGGATTTAAGGTGAAGATAGGAAACTTTTTCTCACATTTTCCACATGGTCAACAGCTCTATTTGTATGAACACATGCTAGAGTGGGCTACAGGAAATAGACAGGTAGGTCTGACCAACTCCAACTTGTATTGATTTTATTGCAGTAACACTTTCAATTGGGTCCATTTGTTCTTCCTTGTAACTTAATGAAATAAAACACAATGTCACAGTTAGAAACCATTTTCTACCCTCTTTTATTTTTTTAAATTTATTATTATTTTTTCTTAATTTACATATAGAGCCCAGTTCCTTGTCCCTCCCATCTCCCCCACTCCCGAGTTCCCTTCCACCCCAGTCCCCACCCACTCCACAGTGGCCTTCCACTGTGGCCTTCCAGGAGGGATCATCAAAATCTGTCAAATCATTTGGAATAGGGCCTAGGTCCTCACTCCTGTCTCTAGACTAAGGGGGGTATCCCTCCATGGAAAACAGGTTCAAGAATTCCTTTCGTACACCAGGGATACATCCCTGTTCCACTGTCGGAGGTCTAATAGACTGCCTAGGCCTTCTAACTGAGACCCTCATTCAGGGGGTCTGGGTCGGTCCTATGCTGATTTCCCAGCTATCAGTCTGGGGTCCATGAGCTCTCCCTTGTTCAGGTCACCTGTCTCTGTGGGTTTCTGTAGCCTGGTCTTGACCCCTTTGGTCATCACTTCCCATTCTTTACAACTGGATTCCAGGAGTTTGGCTCAGAGTTTAACTGTGGGTATCTGTTTCTGTTTCCATCAGCTAGTAGGATTTTTTTCACTTTTAAGATGTGAGATTTTATTACTTCTTTGGGGACTTCAGATACTCATGCGATGACTTCTTATGGTACCAGGCCATGTTTCTTAATTTAAATATAAAACTGCTTGTCACCACTGTTTACTATTATTTCCACTAAATTGAGCAATATTCTCTTGGTACCATTCTGATTACTACACTACACAGTGAATTTTCCTCTTTTCTGGTACCTGTGAGTGACACAGATGATGACAAACTGTGGCTAATTGTAATGGAGGAATATATTAAATATATGCAAATAATTGATTTTATTATATAATTTGGTTTAAGCATTTTATAAACAGGTCCTAAATTGTCAACGTATCCATTAATATACTAATATTTACATAATCCATTTTGATACACTGTGAATTATGACTTTCTTTTATCTTTTTTTTCTTACACGGCTATGGGTATTTTGTCTACATGTATCTCTATGCAATACTAGCATGCGTGGTACATATGAATGCCAGAACATTGATTTGGCCCTGGGAACCAGAGACAGCTTAGTGTCACTCAGTGATCCCCAGGAATCAAGCATGAACCCTGTTCATCCTTAGAAATTGTTATTGATAGCTGAGCAATTTCACCTGAAACTTACCCTGTAAAAGGAATTGATAATGAGGAGAATATTTCTTGGTTTCATTAACACTTTCATAGTTCACTAAAATTGACAAGTGTTTGTCTATTTTCCTTATCTGTGTGGGTAGAAGTATTGGTAGTAAATAAATTGGCTCTTAAAATATTATAAATATATATATTCCATTATGAGTCTGAGCTATAAGATAGGTTTGAATTCTGATTTGGGTGATTTTAAAGCATCTTATTCAAACCATCCAATTGCAAAGTGGGTTGAGTTTAAGAGTCAACTTTAGAAAAGCTTATTTGAAGTTGTGTCTTAGGTAGCCCATTAATATGAAATCTACACTCAGTATTCTTTCTCAGAGTGATGAGAACCATCCTTATGGAAAGAGACATATAAGCAGAAGGTTTAAAAACTGAGCTATATATCCATTAAAGTGCAGCAATGAAATTTCATGTGTGCTCTAATAAGTCCTCACTTCACCATGATAAAAAACACACACTATAGAAATACTGAAGGTTGATAATCCTTTGTGCTATGTCTAAAATACATATGGGTGAATACATACCAGGTTTCTCTTTTTGTGACTGGGTTACCTCATTCAGTATGGTTTTTTCAGGCTACAGAAACCCACAGAGACAGTTGATCTGAACAAAGAGGAGCTAATGTGCCCCCCCCCCAGACTGATAACTGGGAATCCAGCATTGGTTGGACTCAGAAACCCTGAACATGGGTCTCAGTTAGAAGGCCTGGGCAGTCTAAGGGACCTCTGACAGTGGAAATAGGATGTATCTCTTGTGCAGAAAAGGACTATGGGAGCACATTCCCTATCCATGAAGGGTTACTCCCTTAACTTTGAAGCAGTTGGGAGGGCCTGGTCCCAACTCCAAATGATGTGACAGATTTTGTTGACCTCTCCTTGAAGGCATCATACACTCTGTGGAGTTGGGGGGGGGTTTGGGAGGTGGTCGGGGGACATAGGAGGGTGGGAGGGAGGGGGAGGGAACTGGAATCCATATGAACAATAAGAAAAAGAAGAAAGAAATACTGAAGGTTAAGAAAAAAGCAAATATTGCTCTACTCTCAGATATTCACATTTCAATGAAAGAAAAATGAACAAAAAATATGAAGACATCAAAACAACTCCAATGTTGTAGTCAGAGGCTTAAATGGGAGTATGTTCAATGAATACTGAACAAAGAATTCAAAGGTGAGACTGAAAATCAAACAGGATGCAAATCATCTCCAGGAGAATGGAATGCAATCACACAAAGATGCATAGAAAATGGAACAGAGAGAGCATATGAGAAACACATCATAAAATGTATAAGTAATGAAAAAAATCAAAATAAAATATGTAAAGAAAATACAAAAGAAATCTAATAAAAATCTCAGTGAAATTCTCACTAAGAGAATAGTTCAAGGCGAAGAGAGGATGTCAGGACTCAAAGTCAAGGCAGAAGAATCTGAAAGCTGAAAGTATGACAAAGATAAAATTAAGGAAAATGCAAGATATATGAGACCAAGAGAATAATACAATTAAGGGATCAAGTTTATAGTAAGGAAAGAAGAAAAATACTCACTATAGGCATCAACAGTATATCAAATAAGATGCAATAGTAATTTTCCAAAATAGAGTGGGGCATGTGGCCTCTAGAGACAGGAAGTGATTAAACACTAACCATAAACACAGTGAACAGGAATGGTCCATGTATCTCATGGATTACAGTCCATAGAACACAAGTCATGTATCTGGAGACTGCAACTAAAGCATAAACCCTTTAGGAACACTGTTTCCTGGCTTGCTCTGCTTGATTATTAATATTTCAATGGCCCAATACAATATAGTTATGGAAGGAGTAGGCAAAACTCACAATATCAGCATGTCTTTAATTTGTCTCAGATGCCACACTCTGTGTGCAGTGCTGACTGTGGTCCTGGATTCAGAAAACTCCGGCAGGAGGGAATGGCACCCTGCTGTTTTGATTGCAGCCAATGCCTGGAAAATGAAGTTTCTAATGAGACAAGTGAGTGTTTGCTGCTCATAAGGTTATTTCAATATCAGATTCACACTTGAATACATTCACAGAGTCTGGGTCTCCCATAGATCGAAATTAGAGAGTGTGGAAAGTGCTTGTCCCCAAAGGTGATGGAATCAAGATCTAGGGCTCTTTAAATGCTTAACATATACAGTAGTTTCTACTTGAGTAAATGGGTTAATGTTTTTTATGAACAAGATTCAAGAGTAGAGTCTCTACTGCCAGGTGAGGATACAATAAATTAAATATATTTAATTTTTAAAATTAGTTTTGCATTTTCCAACATCAAAATTGTATTTATATATCTTTCTTCTATCATTTTGCCTCCTGAATTCCCCTATATAAACACAATCACTCCTGTATTCATGTGGTGTTTTGTTATTCTACATGCACACACAGACACAAATACATACACACACTTATACAACTTAATGATGCTGAAGGAACTGTAGCCAGTCTGAGCATGCAAACATATCTCTATTGAACTCCGCTTTCCCCCATTTCTCTTTGCCTTGTTAAAAGCCATTACTTTAGTATGGTTGTTTGAATATAATTTGACCCAATAAGTCATGAGGAATGGTCTTATCAGTAGGTGTGGTCTTGTTGGAGGAAATGTGTCACTTGCAGGCAGACTTTGAGGTCTCAGATATAATCAAGACACACCCATTGTTGACTATGCATCAAAGAGGTATAAGTCTAATTTCCTTCTACAGCACCAGGTCTGCCTGCATTCCAACATGTCCCACAATGATGACAATGGACAGAAACTCTGAACTATAAGCCACCAAATTAAATGTTTTCCTTCATACAATCATGCTCATGGTTTCTCTTCATGCTATAGAAATCCTAATAATATACATTTTAATTAATTTTTAAATTTAAATTAAAACAGTCTGATTTAACATACAAATTTCAGTTCTCTCTTGCTTTTATCCTCCCATTTCCCCCCACCATCACTCCATCCCACCCCTATCCTCTCCTTAGGAAGGTGGATCACGACAGACTGTCACATCATTTGGGGCAGAACCAAGGCATCTGGGCTGAGAGAATATGGCTCTTTGGAAATGGGCTCCAAAAGCCCATCATGAACTAGGGATAAATACTGGTGCCAATGACCCTATAGACTGTCCAAGCCTCCCAAGAGACATCCAGTGGGCCTGGTTTAGTCTCATGCAGTTTCCCAAGCTGTAATTCGGGAGTTCATGAGCTCCTACTTGCTCAGGTCAGCTGTTTCTGTGGGATTCCCCAGCATGGTCTTGAACCCTTTGCTCATCACTCCTCCCTCTCTACAACTGGATTCCAGGGGTTTGGCTCAATGCTTAGCTGGGAATCTCTGTTTCTGCTTCCATCAGCTACTGGATGAAGGCTCTTTGATGGCATTGAAGGTAGCATTCAATCTCAATATAGGGTAAGGGCATTTGAGGTAGCCTCTCCACTATTGCTTAGCTTCTTAATTGGGGTTATCCATGTGGATTGCTGAGAATTTCTCTAGTGACAGGTTTCTAGTTAAGCCCATCATGGCTCCCTCTATCAAGGCATCTTTCCTTGCTTTCCTTCTCTGTCTTTCACCCAAGTCAACCTTCCTAATCCTTCATGTCCTCCCCACTCCTCTTCTCCCTTTCTCTTTCTTCTGCCTCCATGGCCCCTCTCCCATGCTCCCAATATACTCAGAAGATCTTGTCCCTTTCCCCTTCTCGAGGGTCCTTTTATGTCTCTCTTAGGGTCCTTGTTTGCTAGCATCTCTGGGGTTGTGGCTATTGTAGGCTGGTTATCCTTTGCTCTTTGTCTACTATCCACTTATGAGTGAGTACATAGGGCTCAGCTGTTCAAGGCTAAGCTCACAACCAAAAATTAAATTCTTTTTTGGTTTTTCATGATGGGGGTTTCTTATTGTAGCCCTGACTGTCTTGTTGCTATCTCTGTAGACCAGGCTGGCTTTGACCTCACCAGAATCTTCCTGCCTATGCCTCCCAAGTACTAGGTGGGCATGTACCACCACTGTCCAGCTAACTATTACATCCTTAAAGCTAGACACAAATATCTGTTCCCTTATTTGGCTACTGCCTCCTCCTGAACCTGACAAGTAAGATTCAGTTATCAAAGTATTCAAGTCTAGCTAGCAAAAAACATTTGTGGCTGCCTAATTAACCTGACAATCAAATTAAGTACTTCATACCAAGAAGGGATTCCTCGTTTTTAAAGATTCTTTACCTCTATAAACTGCCAATTTCCTACAGGTCCCATTTGACTCCTCACTATCCATAGGCAGTTCTTTGTACTCCATGAATATCTACTCCTTCCCATACTCCCTTGTTCTTTTCCCTTCTCCCTCATCCTCTATCTCCTGTTTTCTTATCCCTGACATCCTCTGAGGCTAATAAATCTGATTTCCTTTTATAATTGTTCCTGGTGTGTCTTATGCTGACTGGAGAATACCTACTGATTCTATTTAATGTTGCTTTTAGGTCAATGCATTTGGGCTGAAATATTCAAGCTACATAATGTAGGACTTCCCCTAGTATAAGACATGTTCTCCATATATCTTATTGAAAGCATTCATAAAACAGACAAGAAAGACCTCAGCAGAAAATGCATCTATGGAATCTGGGATTTAAAAATACACACTGTGCAATGCAATGGTTAATGATTTCAGATTCTGACACTTAACCGGCTAATCATAGCACCCAGAATGCACTGAAAATATCTGTGATTTCCTTAAAGATGACAAATGGAATCATTAACACACAGTTAAGTAGACAATGTAATGATTAATTGATTTCATTACACATACAGATAATGCACAAATATTGTTAAATGGAGGCATTGCTATACAGCAAGATCTTTCAACAACATACTCAGAAAAAACACATTCATTGCAATGCCTTTGCAGTACACTTAATTGAAATGTTCTTTCAATAAAAAGTATGAAACTGAACTAATCATTCTTTTCTTTCTCCACCAGATGTATATGAGTGTGTGAAGTGCCCAGAGGACATGTATGCCAATGCAGATCACAGCCAGTGTTTTCACAAAACTGTGACATTTCTGAACTATGAAGACCCCTTAGGAATGACTCTGGCTTTAATGTCCTTGTGCTTTTCTGCATTCACATCTGTACTTCTTGGGGTTTTTGTGAAACACCGTGACACTCCCATTGTGAAGGCCAATAACCGTAATCTCAGCTACATCTTGCTCATCTCGCTCATCTTTTGTTTCCTGTGTCCCTTGCTCTTTATAGGCCATCCCAATGTAGTTACATGCACCCTGCAGCAAATCAGTTTTGGAGTTGTGTTCACTGTGGCTGTTTCCACTGTGTTGGCCAAAACAGTTACGGTGCTTATGGCTTTCAAAGTCAGAGCCCCTGGAAGAAGAATGAGGTCCTTCCTGATTTCAGAAGCACCCAACTATATCATTGTCATCTGTACCCTCTTCCAAATTTTTCTATGTTTAATCTGGCTTGGATTTTCTCCTCCTTCTATTGTTACCGATGTACACTCTGAATATGGCCAAATCATCATTGTGTGTGACAAGGGCTCAGTTACTGCATTCTACTGTGTCTTGGGATACCATGGCATCCTTGCCTTAGGGAGCTTCACTGTGGCTTTCTTGGCAAGGAACCTCCCTGATACATTCAACGAAGCCAAGTTGCTGACCTTCAGTATGCTGTTGTTCTGTAGTGTCTGGATCACCTTCCTCCCTGTCTACCACAGCACCAAGGGCAAGGTAATGGTGGCTGTGGAGGTCTTGTCTATTTTGGCCTCCAGTGCAGGGTTGCTGGGATGCATCTTTGTTCCCAAGTGCTACATAATTTTGTTAAGACCTGAGAGAAATTCTCTTCAGAAGTTAAAGGGGAAAACATCTTTGTGACCCAACATTTCCTAAACTGAAACTGACAACAGTAGCATTGGTACAGACTTACCTATCATGATGCAGTGCAGGATTATGCATTACCTAGTAAACCTCACTGTTTCCTCTAATAATGATTCCTAGGGTTATCATACATGCCACTTTTCTGTATATTGTCTCCTATAATCCTCCACACAACCACTTACTTTGCAAGATGTGCATATTGATGATTACTCCAGACTAGAAGTTCTTTTTGTTCTAATATACAATATTATTTGAAATAAATTGTGTTCTTCTTTTGATTTCAGAGTGAATGTGTTACTGTGATAGGACTTGAGTGCTGAGACAAAACAATAAGCGATATTGTCATAATTGCCTTCCTACTGCCTACCTTCTCTAATTATGTCTCTATCACCACTCCAAAAAAAAAAAAAAAACACTCCAGGGACAAGCCCCATACATGACAAAACAATATATAGTAAGAGAATCAAGACAAGGCAAAAGAACATTTCTTTAACAATTTCTGAGCAATTTGATTTTCCTCATTAATGAATTGTATATTAGATCTGTACCCCATTTTAAAATTAGATTACTTAGTTTCTCATACCTAGTGTCGTGAGTTCTTCATAGGTTTTGGATATTGGTCCTTGATCAGATCTGTAGTTGGTAAAATTCCTTAGGTTGCTTCCTTGTCTCAAAGTTAGCATTCTTTGTCTAAGGGGTCCTTTACAGTTTTATGAGGACCTATTTCTTAGTTCTTGGTCTTATTTTGTGTACTAATGGTCATCTTTTCAGAAATTGTTCTCCTATTCGAATGAGTTTAAGGCTACTCCACACTTTTGCTTCAGCCAGGTTTGGTGTTTATGGTTTAAAGTTGATAGCTTTGGTAAATTTGGACTTGAGTTTTGTGGAGGGTAGTCAGTATAGATCTACTTAGGTTATTCACAATGCAGACATTCATTTAAACCAGCAGTGTTTGTTGAACATGCCATGTATGTCCAACCTTGTCTGTCTGCCTTCTCTATCAGAATCAGATGTCCATTTAGGCCAACAATTTGGGGGCCAGTCCCCAATCAGCATCAGGGGATGTGGGAAAATCCAGGAATGTGGCAATAGCATAGGCACAGTTTTTTTTAAATAAATTTTTTTGAGGATTTTGAAAGTTTTGTTTTTAATAGTTAAAACACAGGGGACTTCCTTATTAGGCTCATGCAGTTTGATTGGAATCTCCGGGTGTTTTGAAAACTGACCTTTTCTAAGTTCACTTTGATGAACTAATACTTGGATCTTGGACCTCCTTCTGGTTTGGCCTAGTTTCCTGGGGCTTGGTGAAGGACCTTAGTCCAGAAGACTTCATCAGTTTTTCTTTATAGCTTTTGAGCTATCTCTCCAACTCCTACTTCTTGGTATTTTAAATAGGTCTTATTAAACCCAGGCTGGCCTCAAATTTTCTTAGCATCACCAGGGCTTGAGTTCAGGGTGTTTACTATCATGTCTACTGAATACTTTCTCAGTATTTGTTAGCTTATTATCAGGAGCTGTGCCATGTGTCATTTAGTATTCCTTAACCATGTGTTAAGTATATCTAGGTACTTCATTAGGCCCTTGGGCTACCAAGCTGACCCCACCCACAGGAGGCCACAGCTGTAGGTCATGTATGTCTTAAGTTGTCAATGTGTAGCAGTCAGGATGCCCATAGTAAGGCAAGATTTCAAAGACAATGACAACAAGCATCATATCATGATTTACATTCATGATATAAATGAAAGATGAGAATCATCCAGCTCAGCTGGAGAGAATTTATTCTGAACAATCAGATGAATGGGAGTGATACCATCTGATAGCAAGAAAAAATGTGGGCATACAAAGATGCAATAAGAGAACAGGAATTCCTGATGGATACATACAACTTGGTAAACCTCCTTTAGAACCAAGTCCCACTTTTTCAGTGTAGAGTTAAGATTTAAATGAAAAACAACCTTATTTTACATACCAATCCCCATTCCCTCACTCTACCATGCTCTGATGCCCTCCACCAGCTCCCCAACTCCCCCCACATCCACTCCACAGGTATGGTGAGGGCCCCATGGATCATTGAAGTCTGTCACATCATTTGGGGCAGGGCCTAGTCCCTCCCCTATATACTTAGGCTGAGACATTACCACTCCACAGAAAAATAGTCTCCCAAAGCCCATTCTTGCAATGGGAATATGCCACACCAAATCCATTAGATTCTGTGTGACAAGTTCCACAGACTGAGGCCATAAGTTTAAAGGAAGGAGGTCTCCTGGAATCAGTTGTGGAACTCTAGGTCAGAGAAAAGTATTAAGCCGTAGTTCTCATGGCAATATCTCTTCCTCCATTCTTTTCACATATTAACAAAGTATTCCGGAAAGCCTATGCTAACATTTAAAACAAAAGATACAAATGAGAAACCATTCCCTGAGGCATGATCACTGGCCATGACCTCATCTCTAGGAAAACCAGCACTTTTCAAATCATTCACGTCATTCATATAAGTACAAATAGTATAGATGTAAACTTTCCCAATAATAGAATTTCATATGGCTGTATATGTGTAATTGACAGTAGGTTTAAATGCTTGGTAAAGAAAGCCTTTTGATAAGAAAAAGTCAAAGTAGCTCACTATTTTAAAGATTCTCAAGAGCTAGGCAACAACTGTTAAACAATAATGGGGAGTCCCCGCCTGTCTGATCTCTGACCCTCACCTCCGGTTCTCTGAGAGAGCTTCAGGGCCCTGCCAGAGATCCGCCTATCCTAGTGGGACAATCCTGTGTGCAGGATTTTTGACCCCCATCTGCTGGAGGCGAGTCTGGAACCAGTTCGGGTTAAATTCCCACATAACCTGTGCCAGTTCTAGCCTACAGTCCCACTGCTCTGGTTGAGCACAGGAACAGAGGGGGGATCCAACATCCTGCCAACTTTGGTGAACTTCCTGGAACTGCTCTAAGCACACTAGACTCGCCTATCCACAGGACCACCATGAGTCCCTGCTGGCCTGATCTCTGACCGCCACTGCGGGTCCTCTGCTGGAGCTCTGAGCCCCAGCCAGAGATCCGCCTATTCCAGCAGGTCCAGGTCTGTCCCAAGTCCTTGCCTGCCAGATCTTTGACCCCCATCGCTGGGCCCCTGCCTGAGGAGAGACCTCCTAAAGAGCCTGGGCTACCCAGAGCTACAGGCATCAAATTTCTGACCCACCTAAGCCCACTGGTGGAGCACGAGAGAGAGAGAGAGAGAGAGAGAGAGAGAGAGAGAGAGAGAGAGAGAGAGAGAGAGAGAGAGAGGGAGGGAGGGAGGGAGGGAGGGAGAGAGAGATCCTACCTGCACCCACTGGAAGAAGTGATGGAAAGATAGCAATAAAAGAAAACACCTAATAATAGAAAGACAAGCATGACACCACCAGAATCTAGGGACTCTACACCAATTAGACTTGAATACCCCAAAGCAGATAAAACAGAAGAGAACGACTTAAAAACTTATCTTCATAAAAATGATAGAGGCATTCAAAGAGATGTAAGAAAATCCCTTAAAGAAATGTAAGGAAAAAACAAACAAACATTTGGAAGATAGGAACAAGTCTCTTAAAGAAGGTAAGAAAAGCCAAGAAAAAAAAACAACTAAACAGGTGCAGGAAACAGTTCAATACTTGGAAACTGAAATAGAGATAATAAAGAAAACACAAGCTAAAGGAATGCTGGGAATAGAAAAACTGGGCAAACGACCGGGAATTACAGACACACACATAACCACTGAATACAAGAGATGGAAGAGAGAATCTCGGGCGCTGAAGACAAACTAGAAGAAATAGATTCTTCATCGACCAAAGAAAACCTTAAATCCAACAAATCCTTAACACAAAACATCCAGGAAATGTGGGACACTGTGAAAAGGCCAAACCTACAAATAATAGGCATAGAAGAAGGCAAAGAAGCTCAGCTCAAAGGTGCAGGAAACATATTCAACAAAATCATTGAAGAAAACCTTCCCAATCTGAAGAAGGACATGTCCATGAAAGTACAAGAAGCATACCGAACACCAAATAGACTGGACCAAAGAAAAAAGATCCCTTGAGACATAATAATCAAAGCACCTAACATACAGAATAAAGAAAGAATGTTAATAGCAGTGAAGGAAAAAGGCCAGGTAGCATATAAAAGCAGATCTATCAAAGTCTCCCCTGACTTCTCCATGGAAACTCTCAAGGCCAGAAGGTCCTGAATAGATATTCTACAAATACTGAGAGTCCACAGGCTATTATACTGAGAAAAAGCCTCAATCACTATAGAAGGAGAAAAGAAGATATTCAATGACAAACCAAAATTTCACAATACATATCCACAATGTATTGGGTTATTAGTCTGTAGTTCTCTTTCTTAGTTGTATCTTTGTGTGGCTTTGCTACCAAGTTAATTGTAGCTTCATAAAAAGAGTTTGGTATTGAACCTTCTGCTTCTATTGTGTGGAGTAATTTGAGAAGTATTGATATTAGCTCTTTTTTGAATTTCTGGTAGAATTCTGCACTGAATCCATCTGGCCCTGGGCTTTTTTTTTGGCGGGGGAGAGGCTTTCGATGAATACTTCTATTACAATAGGGGTTATAGGTCCATTTAAGTTGCTTATCTGTTCTTGATTTAATTTTGGTAAGTGATAGTTATCCAGAAATTTGTTCATTTCCTTTGAATTTTCAAATTTTGTGGAGTACAAGTTTTCAAATATGACCTGAAAATTGTCTGGATTTCCTCAGTACCCATTGTTATGTACTCCTTTTCATTTGTGTGTTTGTTGATTTGCATGCTTTTCTCTGCTTTTTGATTACTTTGGATAAATGTTTGTCTGTCTCATTTATTTTTTTGAAAAACCACCTCTTTGTTACATTGATTCGTTGTTTTTCTAGTTTCTACTTTATTGACTTCAGCCCCCAAATTGATTAATTCCTGGCATCTACTCCTCTGGTGTGAGTTTGCTGCTGTTTTGTTCTATGGCTTTCAGTTGTGCCATTAATTCACTAATGTGAGTAGTCTCCGTTTTCTTCATATGGGCACATAGTGCAATGAACTTTCCTCATAGCACTGCTTTCAAAGTGTCCCATAATTTACCATGTGTCATGTCTTCAATTTTGTTGAATTGTCGGAAATCTTATTTCTTTATTTCTTCCTTGACCCAGGAATGGTGCAATTGCACATTGTTCCATTTCCATGAGTTTGTAGGGTTTCTGCAATTTGTGTTGTTGTTGAATTCCAACTTTAAAGCATGGTGGTGTGATAAGATACAGGATGCTATTTCATTTGTATCTTGGAAGTTTGTTATGTTGCCTAGTATGTGTTCGATTTTAGAGATGGCTCTATGTGGAGCTGAAAAGAAGGTATATTCTTTCGTGTTTGGATGCAATGTCCCATAGATGTTTATTAAATCCAATTGGGACATAACTTCTGTCAGTTCTTTTATTTCTTTGTTAAGTTTCTGTCTGGTGGTCCTGTCTAGTTGTGAGAGTGGGGTATTTAAGTCTCCCACTATGAGTGTGTGAGGTTTTATGTGAGCTTTGAGTTTTAGTAGCATTTCTTTTGTGAATGTGGGTGTCTTTGTATTTGGGGCATAAACGTTCAGAATTGAAACTTTGTACTGATGGGTTTCTCCTGTGATGAATATGAAATAATATTCTTCATCTCTTCTGATTAATTTTGGTTTGAAGTTTAACTTGTTAGATATTGGGATAGCTACACTTGCTTGCTTCTTTGGTCCATTTGATTGGAAGATCTTTTCCCAACCCTTTACTCTGAGGTAATGTCTGTCTTTGAAGCTTAGATGCGTTTCTTGTATGCTGCAGAATAATGGATTTTGTCTTTGTATCCATTCTGTTAACCTGTGATGTTTTATAGGCAAGTAAGACCATTAATGTTGAGGGAAAGAAAAGACCATTGATTGTTAATGCTTGTTTGTTTTTGATTTGTTTTTGTTAGACCCGCACTCTGGCCCAATTCTCACCCCAAACAGCGGGCCCAGTGGTATCACCATGTATTTAGAATTCCACTGTCATGAAAAAAAAAGATGCTGTTTCCAAGTGTACTGACCTTGAATACACTCTGTGTAGCAGAGTGAGATTATTTAAGTATTACTATGACTCCTTGCATTTCTCTGAACTTATACATAAGTGGTTATACATACCAAAAAATATAAACAGACCTCTTAAACACTTTTATCTCTTTTTGGAAAAGTTAACAGTACATATGCAATACTACTGAATTTCCTAAAATATCAATATTTAGGGGGTTAAACTAAAGAATATTACCATTTTGTTAGTTAATGGCTTATGTGCAACCCAATAGATTGGAAAGGATTGTGATCCAATGATTGTTCAGCAGCAATTTTCCCAAACTGCAAACTCTTTTATTAATAGGCATTACAAACAGATAATACTAAACTTATTTAAAAACCAATAGTGCCACACCATTGAATATACAGCTCATGAATAACTTAAAATGCATTATCCATTTTAAAAGGCAAAACATAGCATACAAAAGCCTAGACTAAACTAATAAGCTATAATATGGGTACATGATTGATGTGTCTAAAATTACACACATATATATACATATATATAATACATATATATAATGTATGTGATCCATACATTGCTCTATGTGATTCCCTTCATGCTTTACTTCCTCCAGAAACTGAAGTCTGAAATTTCTCTTCTGAAATTGTTACAATAAGGTTATCCTCTTACACCATATTATATTTCATCACAAGTTTTGTAAATTGATGACATAAAAATGTTCCATTTTCATATTCATCAAATATCTGCCAGTGAAGAAAATAGGCATGTGAAAATATTCCATAAATCCTACAGCACCCTGATCTTAGTTTTGCTATAGATGATTGTTTTATGCTATTGCTGCTGGGAAAATATGGCTATTCAGAAGACATACACCACCATCAAGTGTGTGTCTTGTATACTTTATAGCAGGACATTCTTTTGGAGTTTTACAGCTGCACAAAGAAAAATACATTGTTCAGTTGCTGTCATTTCATGACACATATCTGGATGGCATTCACTCAGAAGCTTGACAGCAAATCCATTTAATTCAAGGCAGAATTGTCTTCAATGTTCATATTTCTATACATCTTCATCTTGGCCTTCAGGTGGTTTAACACTTGTCAATATTGGGGGAGTCTGCTCTTATATTCTGTTGAATATACTGCCAAACAGCAAGTGTACTGTCCATTTCATCAAATGATTCATCAGGCCAATTATAGAAATCCTGCTTCTTTGTGCCTGGCCTGTTCCGCCTCAGCATTGCTGTCCTTTCCGCCATGATCATCTTGCCTGAAACTAAAATACTTTTAATAGAAGAAATCTAACCCTTCTATTCTGGAACCAGGTATATTTATGCTACATAAAATGTGTTTGGTAGTTTCCACTATAACACTACTGTATTAAGACCCATGTTTTCCATCAGTAGAAATGTGACAGATGCAGAGGATTTTGATGGTCATTGTCATGTAAAGTTCATACATACTACAAGACATCAGTTTGGCAGGATGTTCATCCCTTATCGTTGCATATTTGTGTTTCTTATGCTGCACTGAAAGTTGAAGGTTCTTATGTCAAATGAATGAACAGAGACCCAGTCATCTCGTCTCATATCCCATCCTTCATCTGTAGAGTATTTCTAATTCTGATATCTTAAAAGCACATGGAAAAACTGAATCCATTTGTGGATTCTTTCATATTTTCCCATATTAAAATGTTATATAATTTTAGGTTTGTGTTGCATATATGGATGTGTGGATATGTCATTATATGCACATGTGAGTCCAGGTAACCTTGAAGCCCAGAAGAGGCCATATGATTCTTTAGATACACAGCTTCAACTTTAAAGAGTATGTTGAAGATGCATATTGATTAAGGTCCTCTGCAAGAGCAGCACATGATATTACTTGCGGAGGCATCAATCCAGCTTCCATAATATTCTTTCAATTTCTTCATCAAAACTTCCCTCTGTCTTCTTTGATGTAGTCTTTTAACTCCTAGGATGCATCAGGATCCCCTTACCCATGCTACCACAAGGAGGAACATTGTTTTAACTCTGTGTGCACACCAAAGTTCACTGTCTTAAAAATATCTTGTATTTTTTTCTCAGCACTCTACAGCCATCAAAGTCATTCATTCACTCAGATATTTAAAAAAGAGCATTGCATATATTTTGAACAGATTTGCATTTTAGAGCAGAAAAGACTATTTCCACTTTGCACTATAATCTTATGAAACCAGTAACTGAGTGAAAGTTTATAGGAGATAATGTAGACAAGATTAGCTGCCGAGATAGTGCTAAGCAACATCATTAGAGGAAACAGTGAGAGTCATTCCATAAGAGACAGGTCTGGCATTGTAATTCAATATTTGTTCGATATGAACTAACTATGCATTTGTCAGTTAGAATTAATGAAATATCACTTCTGGAAGATAATTTTTCCCTGATATTTTGAAGATATTTTTCTCACTGGTCTTATCAAAATTATGTAGCACTTGGGAATGAAAATGCATCCCAGCATCCCAGCACTGGAGGCCAAGATGGAGAAAATTTCCACAGCTACCATGACCTTACCCTTGGTACTATGGTACACAGGGAGGAAAGTGACCCAGACACAGCAGAACAAAAGCATGCTGAACGTCAAGTACTTGGATTCATTGAATGTGTTAGGCAGATTCCTGGACAAGAAAGCCATGATGAAACTCCCCTGAGCCAGGCAGGCCAGGTATCCCAGGACAAAGTAGAAGGCAGTGACTGAACCTTTGCTGCACACAATGATGATGTGGCCATGCTCAGAGTGTGCATCAATATTAACAGAGGGAGGAGAAGCTCCCAGCCAGACTGAACAGATGATAACTTGGATGAGAGTACAGATAGGAATAATGTAGTTGGGTGCCCCTGAAATTAGGAAGTATCTCATTCTTCTTCCAGGGTCTGTGACTTTGAAAGCCAGAAGCACAGTAACTGTTTTGGCCAACACAGTGGAAACAGCCACAGTGAACACAACTCCAAATGTGATTTGCTGCAAGATGCATGTAGCTGAGTTTGGACGGCCAATGAAGAGCAAGGGGCAGAGGAAACAAAAGAAGAGTGAGATGAGCAGGATGTAACTGAGCTTCCGGTTATTGGCCTTCACAATGGGAGTGTCATGGTGCTTGACAAAGACTCCAAGAACCAGAGCTGTGAATGCAGTGAAGCACAGGGCCATAAAGGTGAGAACCATCCCCAATGGGTCATCATAGCTCAGAAAGTTCACAGTTCTGTCAATGCACTGGTTCTGCTCTCTGTTGGCAAACTGGTCCTCAGGGCACTTCACACATTGATCCACATCTGAGGGAGAGAGGAATGTGTCAGTAGTTCACCATCAGTATTTTTACTGACAGGGCATATCAATTACATGTACAAAAGAAACATTGCAATGTCTGCATTTTCTTGTTGAGGATGTCTTTGAAGGACCTTGCTGCATAGACATGCTTCCATTTCATAATGCTCATTATCTCATGGGAAACAAAAGCAAAGCATTGTCTTTTGTCTATTTATGTGTATTGATGCAATCATGTGACATGACATCAGGAAGCAGATTTGGTAGTATATTCTGGGGGGGGGTATGAAGAAATAACTTATATTTGTTTACTCAAAGATGCTAAATTCATTCACCACAATTTTTCTGAGGGTTTTTTAAAATCCCAGATACCACGGAATCAGTGCCTCCCAAGGTTTTTGCTACCATTCTGACTGTTGTGCCCATGATATATGGAGACTGTGTCTTCTACTGGAACCAGAACTCTAATACATTTTCTAGTCCAAATTTCCTGCCTCAAACACATTGAAATAAAAGCAACTCTAAATGAAATTAGCAGGTTGTATGAGTGTGTATATATTTATAACTGCATATACATTCAAAAGTAACAAAATATCTGATGAAATTGAAAGTGATTGGGATTATATAGGGCAACTAGGAGGGTGAAAGCCTGAGAAGAATAATGATTGACAACTGCAAATATAAAAAAGATCATAAACACAGCCTTAGTTCTGTCTTCTTCTGGCAGTGAAACCAGCAAATTCCCAAGTATTTTTCAGAAGAAGCTGAGGCCTATCACTGAAAGTAGAAACATGTGTACAAAATTAGCACTAAAATGCCCCTACATCTTTATTCTGCTCCATTTGGGAACAGACAACACTCACCTCCTTCCCTGATTCAATCTCTGTGAGACCCAGACTCTTTGGATGGACTCAATGGTGAAGTAAATACTGATAAACAATATGATAAAGACAACAGGGCAGCCCTAAGACGGATTGTTAACACAGAATGTTGTGTTGATTAATATTCTCCTACTTATAAGTTGTGATACCCTAGATAGTAAATGTAGGAAACCATATTGTAATTCCTCTGAATCACTGGATGATTGTAGACAGTGATAGTGGTCTTCCAATTTTAAGGGGTTTATCTAGAAAAAATGTTTCATGTAATGTTTTTAATTTTTTTTTAATTTGTGTAATGATATGGGAATTTTGTTCAACTCTGAGAGAATGTACTGGTCTCCCAGAACCTGTATTCAGTTCCTATTGTAATATCAGGTGTCTCACCACTGGAGGAAACTAACCACAGAGGCATTGGATGTCTCTCACCAGCACTGGCCTTTATATGCACATAACCACCAACCTCATACACATACACATAATCAAAGTAATAATAAAGATATTTTGCTAATTGTTCAAAAATAAACATTATTCTCATGTGTTTTTACATTTAAAAATTCAATGAAACCTTGTTTAATTACTTTGGAGTATAGTATTGTGAGACTTCATGGAGTTCATGGCTTCTGAGGATGAATTCAGGTTGTCTGTGCTTATGGCAAGGGTTTTAACAGCTGAGTCATCTCATTGTCCATAAATATCCCTTAAGGACTTTCATTTCATTATATAGGATGACAGGAAAAAGCAGTGAAAAATCTATTATTTACCTTTTGTATTTAGTCAATCCTGAATAAATAATCATTTGATTAATTTGAGGCATATAGGAGATAATATTATTTGAGTAACTGTGGCTGGCTAATTTTGTGACATTATTACTAGATGTTTTATATAAAAATACTGAATATATTTTCCATATTATCTGTCAATACTTATCCCCACTTTCCTAAATTTCTAATCAAGTAGAACCTTTTATAAGAGTTTCTCGATATTGTATGAAGTCTTCTGTCTCATTCTTGTAGTTCCTAAAAATTGAACAAGTAATAATTTTCTCTCTTAATTAATCTTACAGAGGATTTGGATTTGATTACTAGCATACACATTACATAGCAAAGCAGTTGCATTGCCCTATTGTGTTCTCTGCGGGTGCCTATGCATGTGTGGTATGCATAAACTTATGTAGATACAAATACATGCAAAAAGATTTAAAATGTTTGGAAACATTCAAGACCCAAATCTAAAATACATTTAATTTTAGAGGAGATTAATCACTGGGAAAGACCCTGTATAAAATTCTTTCACACTGTACATTGATTACCAAAACTGTCTCTTTGAGAAATTGCCAGCTGCCATGAATTTACGAGTCAAGATGTGGGTAAAGGCATGAAGGACAGAGTTATTGATCATATTCCTATAAAGCCTAACTTAGTAAAATAGTACACTGGATTTTTTGCAGTTCCCTTTTAGACCTCTTCAGCATCCCAGTGTGGAGGTTTGGTGGGATGATCAATGTGAAGCATTTATAACTGCCTCACATACTCACTTGTCTCATTAGAGATTTCATTTTCTGGGCAGGGGCTGCATTGAAAACAGCAGACTGCCATTCCCTCCTGCAGGAATTTTCTGAAGCCAGGACCGCAGTCAGCACTGCACACAGAGGTTGGCATCTGAGGAAAATTAGACACATAGTGATATCACAAATTTTACCTACTCTTTTCATACCTATATTATATAGCATGTTTAGATTTCAATAAGGCACTTTCATTTATACTGTGTGAGACCACATTACAAAAATTACAGTTTAAAAAAAAACCACAAACACAGAGAAGCTAAATAAAATTGCTCTTTTCCAGACTAGTCTGTCTGTGAAACATTTTATTAATTGTTAATGGACAGTGATGTCCCTAAGCAGGGCTGTGTGGTAAATGCAAGGATAGCAAGCCAATTAGCAGTGTTCCTTTAGAGTCTATGCTTCAGTTGCAGTCTCCAGATTCCTGTTTTATCTTCCCTTGACTGTAACCCATGAGCCAAATCAATCATTTCCCGTCAATTTATTTATTGTCAGTGTTTGATCACAGCAACAGAATACCAGGCTAGGAGGAACGGGCATCTGAAAGAGGAGAAATAGCTCCTAAAATTCTCAGACAACAAACTTTAACCCCAATAAAATAGCACTGCAAAGCATGGTAAACAGAGTGAAGAGCAAAGAGCTGAATAGTCAGAGCCCAGAGTGTTTTGCGCTGAGGAAGTGCCGACTTGATGTGTAATGAGCACAATGCTTCCTCTTTTGTTGTTTTTCCTGAAACAAGGTCTCAGTGTGTAGCTTTGGTTTACCTAAACTCCCTATGCACAGTAGGCCATATTTCTTTCCTTCTTTTTTTGTATGACTTTTCATTTATTTTCTTTTTTAATTTGATAATATTTTAAGGATTATTTTGAAGAAGAGTGGATTTTCTGCTCATTTCATTTAAGTTATGGGTTCCATACAGATCTCTGTCTTGCTTGAACTAAGTATGTAGGCTAGAGTGCCTACAAAAGGGTCTCTTGCATCTGTGTTCAAATAGCATGAAATAAAGACATGAATATCACACACACACACACACACACACACACACACACACACACTCACACACACCTGGCACCATTTGATTTTAATGGTTAGTCTTTGTTTTTTTCTCTCTGTGTGGTACAATGTTGTGAATATGTTCCACAGAAATCCTTAACTTGTCAGGATGTGTTTGTTCTATTCTGTCAGCCTTTACTTCTTCTGTGTGTTTTCTCCAATTTGAATGGAGGTTGGGCTTTGTTAAGAGTCTTTTCTACACAATTGTAGATAACAACTGAATTTTATCCTCGAGTTGGTATATTACTCTTAACTTCTGTGTATGTTGAATCATGCTTGCATCCTTGGAGTGAAGTCATCTTGGTTGCAGAGACTGTTGTGTTGCTGAAATCTTTTGGGAGGTGTTAAGTCCAGAATTATTGCATCCATGTCCATTTGAATTGAATACATTTTTTTCAATTTTCCTTCATAATAGTGCTCTTCCTGCTTTTATAGAAAGTTTCTCACATATTTTCCCCATGAATGTAGCAAAGCATTGTTTGTTTGTTTTTTAAACCAATTTTATTGTCTGCACACTTCTATTAGAAAATGTGACCATTAACATTTAATTCTTATTGAAAACTATTTGTAAATTATTGTCCTTTAATTGTTATTGCAATATTTGATTCTTACCTAATAGCTGATTTTCTGACTGGTGTTCCAGTGCTGGCTCTATGTTTCTTTGACCTGTTGTTGTTTATCTTGCTTTTTATTCTGAAGGAGTTCTACATGTACTTTCATAGTGTCGCCTCATTGGTTACATATTCTGTAATCATTTTCATTATTGAAACTTGTTCTGTCTCCTTCTATAATTGGGGATAATTTTGCTTGTATAGTAACCAGGGTTGGCAGCATATGTCTCTAAGTATTTGAAATATATCTTTTACTCTCCTCCTTTAAGAGTATTCTCAGTAGAATCTGCTGTCATCCAGATGGAATCTTTGTATGACTAGGGATTTTCTCCTGCAGCTCTCAATTTCTATTTTTTTTTTACAAAAGTCATTTTACATGAAATAACTCAAGGACTCTGTCCTTTCTGATGTTGCATCTTTGCTATTTAAGTGACTATTGCATCTAGTGACATTGTCATGGTTTATTTCGGGTAATTTACACCTACATTTTAGTGGATATAATGTTGAAGAATTTAGTGTGTCTGTCTACTCTTGAATTTGTGGTTTCTAAATTTGACCTTTACCATATTACCATGATTTCCCTTCTCTTTTTTTTATTCCATTTGTACTATTTTTGTCATAATTTGATTTCATACTCCTGTTCTTCATGTCTTCCATCCTGTCTTCAATGTAAAATATTCTCTTGTTGAGAATTTTAACTGAGCTTTTTATTTGATAATTTTGCTTTACCTTTATATAGTTTCTCTGAACTTTTTAATTATTTTGTACCTTTATTGAAATCCTTTGTGACATGATCATTAGGTGTCTAATTGTTTGCAAGATTTCATAATCCCATTGTCTCTCCAAGAAGTGATTTGTGCCCTCTTTAATTTTTCTGGAACACTCTTATAATTATTCTTTTCATTTATTGTTTATCACACCATTGAACATACTCCCCTGTAAGTCCATGACTGTAAGATTTGGAGTCATGCTACTTAGGTATCTTCCTGTATATTTATTTGTTGTTTGTTTCTGTATTGCAATTTGCATTTCTGGGATCAGAACACTGGTTGAATTGCTTTCAATCCCCAGTATTCTTCCAGTGGATATTTCTGTAATGCTCAAGTGAGGTGTGATTAGAATAGACAGGCAATCTCATTGCTGTCCTCTGAATGGATATGCAGCACAGTAGGTACACATTCAGCTCATATGTTATTTTCCTTGAGAATGACATTCACATTCAGAGAAAGAACAAAAGATGAAAGTTTCATACTATCTAGGCAACCTGACATATCACTTCAGATCATGTTTGAAGACTTTCCTGAAGTTACAGTCTTTCAAAAATCAACCTACTTTGTACTAGGCAGTTTGAACTGGATACCTTAAAAACACCCACATAAGACTTCATCCCTATAAAATACTCATGACCAATGATGGGATATTTCATTTACAAATTTCCTCGAAACCAATGCTCCTAATTCAGAGAAGGAAACTAGACACTCCTTTACCAGTTTGGACAAACTATGAAATAGTTAACACAAGCAAGCGAGGTATCTCTAAATGAGAAATTTCTTTTATACTGTATGATTCAGAAATGGAGATATGGCTCAGTGTTCAGTAACAATTCTTCTCTCATGAATAGGACTGATGATTGATTTCTAGCAGCCACTGTATGGAACTAAGCTTTCTCCAGTTTACAGGGACCCAAATAACTCTTCTGGCATCCATATGGACCACACTCACAGCAGTCAGTTGCAAGCATACATGAGGATAAAACAGCCATATCAACAAAAAAGGGGGAAAAAAGAAAGAAAATCAAGGTAATAATTGATAGAATATCTAATATGTATCATGAAAATGTTAATTTGTGGTTAGAGGTGTCGACATTTAGGAACTCTATGTAAAAAGGATTAAACAAAATGAAATAATAAAAATTCATGTCTCATGTGTTTTTAACTTGCTATCCTTACAAGAGCCTAGTTTTAAACATCTTTGCCCAAGATTCAGCATAAGGGAGAAAATTCCTGTTTTGTAATCAGTCTGGTACCAAGAGAATATTGTTCGCTTTACTGGAAATGATATTAACTCATTTTAACAACTAGTTTTATATTCATATTTAAAACCAGAAACAAGTTCTGATATGATAGCAATGTACTGTATGCATGCTGGAAATTCTCAAAAGACTAATAAAATGTCAAATCAAAAAGACAAAAAGAACAAACAAAGTGGGAGGCTAGATATTGGTTCCTAATATGACAATTTATTTCATTAAGTTACATCAAGCACAAATGGTCCCACTTGACAGTGCTATTGCTGTGTAATGGAAATCAGCACAATTTGGTCAGACCCACCTGTGTATTTCCTGTGGCCCACTCTATAATGTCTTTATATACATGAAGCTGTTGTCCATGTTGAAAATGTGAGCTATACTTTCCTATCTTCACCTTAAATCTAAGACCATGTGGGGAATCCCAAATCTGGAAAATATCATACTCTTCCTGGAGTTTTTCTTTTGGGTTCATATTCACTCTGTCCCCAACAGGATTAGTGAAGTGGGTCTTCTTCAGAATTGAGTTCAGCTGAAAAATAGGCAGCACCCTATAATTTGTGTGCCCTTTTTCAAATAAAAAAAATCACATTCTGATTTTTATCTTAAAAGCAACATTATTGAAGGTGCCCAGGGAAGAAATCTTCATGAAAGCAAATGGGTAAATAAGATTATCATATTGTTCCTAGAATTTTAGTTCCCTCAGAGGAGGCTGGCAAACACAGAGAGATACATGCAGACACCAAACATTGGTATGGAACACACACATTCTCTCTCTCTCTCTCTCTCTCTCTCTCTCTCTCTCTCTCTCACACACACACACACACACACACACACACACACGCCCTGGCATTCGTATGTACATGCAGGTAAACATAAACAGCCATATGCATCCCAAAATACATACAGAAACACTGAAAATGCATACACAGGAGGAATAGGCACATACACAAATACATACAGAGAAAAACACACAGGTACAAACACCAACAGAGAGAGGCATGGGCAAACATGGGAAAACACACAAAAAACATGCCTACATCAAAATACAAAGAGACATACACTCACACTCACACACACACATATACAGACACAGACATTCAGGTATACATATGTGCAAGCACATAGACAGAAACATACAAATACACACATAGGCTCATTCAGACACATTAATTGCCATAAACACACAGGGAAAAAAACCTACCCATACAGGAAGACCCAGACAAATTTATTCTCACTTCCACAGGAAGACAGACAGATCCTCATAAAAACATACATATGAAAACGTATACAGACACAAGTGCACAGAAAAACACAAACATGCCTACAAATAGTGAGAAACATCCAGTGACACACATGAATGCACATGTATGTACTGAACTGAATCAGAGCATTATTGCCTGTGTAATTCCTCTCAGAGTGCTAACTGATGTCCCCAGAGATGACAGTGGGAGAAGGATCAGTTGAGAACACTTATGAAAATCATCTCCTTACCCTGAATAATAATAAATTAAATTAAAAAATTCTTTGACTCCAAAATTTAAGTTGAAGGACAAGTTACTGGGGAAAAGGATTTCTATTTTTGTTTCCACAGAAAATGAAAAGATGTGGATTCCTTCCAGACTAATGTGGTTTGATCACACCAGACCGCCTGAAACAGAGTACAAGCTGATCCTACATTCCAAACAGCTGGACAAAGCAGCCCTACAGACTACAGCCAGGATATCTGAATCTTCTTCGAATACCCCCAAGACAGCGCCCCTTACCAGCAGGAAGTAGTTTGGAAAGAACGACGCCCAAATTCCCAAATATTGTGTATAAATGTTTGTTTTCATTTAATTGGACTTTGTTATATAAAATAAAATTAAATTAAATTAAAAAATGGTTAAAAAAAAAGAAAATCATCTCCTGCACTGATTACCACATATTTGACAATTAATGTACAAAGATCTCATCGAATCATGGAGAGAATTCATGAGAAAGGACTGATAATGTTTACAGTATTAGAACAGGGGTGATGATATGCAGATGCTCAGTAACAAAATCACTGTCCTCGATGCATTGGGTCTTTTGTTCCTTTGCTTTTGTATTAGAGAATTCTATCAACCTCTAGATTAGCTTCCTCAGCAGAAAAAGATGCTCAGATATTGATGACAACAAACATCATCCAAAAGAAGAAATATTACCTTCAAGCAGGCAGAATCAGTTCCTTTCCCATTGACCTTTAGCTGAGTATCTACTTGTTGAAGAACCATCTCATGCACTGCATGGGACAAAGCATACACAGCATTGTATATGTCATAACTGCCATCACTAAAAACCATGTCAAAAGTCTGTACCATTAGCCATTCAATAGAGGCATTCGATGAGTAGTTCTTTAGTGTCTTACAGTTGGATACTGACACTTCACAGTTAAAGTTCATCCACTCCAGCCTTTTCAGGTATTCATCAGTGCATTTGAGGGGGCTCAATGTCTGAACAAAATTTTTAAAACCAGAAATATCACCATGATGGTGTGCAAAACCCAGAGACATAAGGGATGAGTCGATCATGACGTCTCTTTTACTTGTAGGCACATCCCACTGTGAAGTGATAACCCATATTCTCTGTAAACCTCGAGATTTCCACATTCGAAAGCTCATAGTAAGAGTACTGTCTGTGTCACCATAAATGATAATAACATTTGTGGATGATGTCTTGATTTGGTTATAATACACTTCAGCTCTTGACATATACAACTGCATGTTGAGTGGAATCATGTTAACAAAAGCAAAGCAGAGTATATTTTTTGCCATCTCTCTTCTCAAATATGAGAGAAATTGGGTACCCTGATCATTGTCTGAGATGACCAGCCCTACCCAGGTCCAGTTGAAATGAAGTATTACGGAGACCATGGCCAGGGGTAGCGATGTGTCCTTGGGGGCCATCTGATACAGATGGGGAAATTGTTCATGATCACTCAGGATTGGATGGAAGGGTCCATAGGTAAGCTGAATGACCTAGGATGCAGGGAACAGCATGAGGTACCATACATTCCTAAGAACTTGTAACGTAAACACATTTTTCCCCCTGCAAAGTGTTCTAGAAAACTCCTTTGCCTAACCCCTCATCTCTATTTCAAACAAGGAAATGTGGAAGGCAACTTTTCTCTGAATAGCACTCATGAACTACATAGATTAATATAAATGCAAGACTAGTCCCCACCTAGCACATCTGGGAATGGTACCAATGGAGATAGCATTTCAGTCAAACCCAACTCATATAAATCTTACCTTTTGGCTTTTGTGGAGGTCTAGGATTGTCCCAAGTTTTGAAGATATTTCCCAGTTTGGTCCTGTAAGCACCACATGACACATGGTATCTTCATTACAGAAATAATTAGGGAAAATATCATGACTGTGTTCCAAAAATTGATTGAGAGTGTACAATCGAGATGCACTCAAACAAATATCTGCTGCAAAATCAAATACTAAAGACTTATTTGGTAATAGATCAGGGTTCCTGTTGACCTCATCCATGGTAAAAGCCAATGCCAGAGCAAACTTGTAGTTATCTGGTGGTGTTCTGTAAAAGGGTACAGTGTTAAATATGGACAGAGATCAATAGATGATTGTTTGTAGTCAATAAAAGGACTGTCCTATACTGATTACTATTCCCAACTTCCCTCAAATATTGAAACAAATATTTTTTGTTTTGAGGTTGGAAGACATAAGAGTCTGGAAGCTTCAAAAGCTTTAAATCTTTGGGACTGGATCTCCCATAAATAAGATGTGCCATTAGCATCTTCCTCAGAAAGCATTTTCCATCTCTGGTTTGTGAGTTCTTCCTCAGAAGTTAAAGGCAAGGGCACAGGCTTTGACCAAACAGTAAGCATGACCACCTTCATTTTGAAATTACTGATTAATATAATAAATACAACATGATGTGTCAGCTAAAGAGTTTATATTATTTACTTCCGAAAACAACCGAAGTAGTTAAGCTGTCAACAAATAGCCAATTAGTATTTAAATGGGAAATTTGGCTTATGGACTTACATCATGATAATTAGTGGACAATATAGTTAACACATCCACTCATGTCCAACTTCATCTTGTTCTTTTTTTCTTTCAGGTTTATCTATTGCAGGCAAAAAATAAGTTCTTAAAACTTTATTGTTAAATAAATCCAAACTGAAAGATGTATGTCTGCACCCATCTGTGTGTTTGACAGGATTTATGTTAATTTAGACCACAAAAGGAAACAGATCACATGGTTTTGAATGACAATTTTCTATATTTCAGACCTGCCTCAAATGCATAAGTATACACCTGCTGTAGGTCTTCAAGTCAGAGATTAAGGGCATGTACCCTACTACAGTATTGTTTAACTACTTCATGTACACAGGCATGTCACATATTCACCCTTGACATATCTGACTAACATATTTTTTCTAGTTCATATCTTTTGAATACATTTGCAGTTACACTAACACAACACTAGCATCCTGCTGATATTTGTAATGCCATCATTACATATTTGTAAAATAAAAATATAAAGTGTAATATATGTGGGAATGTTTAATTGATTTTAATTAAAATGGACAACAACTCAGGTGGAAGGGAACTTTAGCATGCTGTGCTCATGTTTATGTGAAGAAGAATAATAACTAATATTTCTTTCTCAACATTTCATATACTTTGACCAATATACATAAAATACTCCTTTATCCTGAATGATTTACTCAGAGTTAAATGCAATCCATTTTCCATTTACAAATTGTACCTATGTCATGTCTATGTATATGAAAATAATCATTTAAAATATTCCTTATCAGCACAAAGAAAAAGTATCATTGAAATTTTCAGTAAACAACAAAGGAATTTGAGACTAGAACTTGTGCAACTGAAACACTGACTTCTCCACACTAAAATTAAGAAACATCAGTGACTAGAGCTGTCATAATTGCCTATGGAAACAACTACCAGCATTCCACAAAAATCAACATGTGTATAGTGCCTACATCGGTAAAATATGCAACCATTATTATTAAAATTACTGAAAGAGAAACATAAGATGTGTGATATACATCAGAGAATACATACCTTATAAATAAAAAGAAAAGACACACAATTCTTAAATATTGGTAAAGATTATCTAGTAAGAAACTCCTCTATTCCTGTTCTCATACATTTCCAAATATTATATGTCACAGCTGTCACTCAGGCAAATGACAATTGAAATAACCAGCCATCACTAATATTTGTAGCCTCACTTTTCACAGACTACAAACATATCATTTACAATCCATACATTCCTTCCTTACTATGAGAGGAGAGTAGGGAACTTGACTTTGAAAATATTTAAAAACCAGTGATTGTTCATATATATAAGTGAAGTATCAAGAAAGAAGAACACATATGGACTTCACTGTGGACAGGTCCCTTTCTTCAATTATCCAGTCAGCTTCAGAAGGCAGAATGACTATATGCAAGGAATTAGAGGAGATAACTTAATAGCTATGTGAAACCTCTCTGCAGCTATGTGTGGCACAAACATTTGTGGTCCTCACACAAGCACACACTGATGAAAGGACCATCAGTAGACTCTAAGGCTCTTTACTTTCATGTGCTTAGAACAACATTTATTGAAATTGTATGGATTTCTTTTGATGAGACAACACTAGCTACTGTACTATGGACAGTGATGGATCATGGTAGACACTGCTTCCTTCACTCCACCTCAGTCTTGTAAGTGGGAGGCTAACAGGAAAAAAAGAATACACACTGGACAAACTAAAAGTGTTAAAATAGCAATTGGTCTCTGAAAGACGTTGGGGTCATTTCTTGTTGTGGAATTGAAAGGACAGGAAAAAGAACCAAGGCCCCTCATGAAATATTCATGATGGCATTTACATGAAAAAATACAAGAAGCACTTACTGTATATTCAAAATTTGCTTGAAATAGTCCTTTGCCACAGGCCCCTGCACTATTCTGGGGAAGAAGACACAACCTTTTCCCAAGTCTTCATCCTTGTCTTCATTCTGCTTCATTTTCCAAAAACACCTAGGATAAATAAAATTGGCCATGAAAAGTGGAATGTTCAAAAACAAGAAGAGGGAAATCAAAGTGAACATCACTGTCCTATGCTACACCAGGGCAGAATGAGTTGTAAAATGTCATATAGATAAGTACATTAAATAGACACCCATTTACTCCCAGCTGCTTTTATTCCTTGGCCAAATGAGAGGCTATTTTAAAGTCCATGATTCCTTTTTGTTAAAGTGTCATCTTAGCACTGGAGTAATCTTGAACACTCTCTTCCCTGGGGCTCTGCATCTGAGGACCACAGTCCACGGGAAAAACATGGGTTGTTAAGTATACATGGGGTGAGTTCAGTCTCTTGGTCTATGACATCACTCATGCTTCTGAACAAAAGGCCCTTGGGAGACAGACATTTTGTGAAAATTTGGTCCCAAGACTATCTCAGTTTATGTGAACACCATTAGAAATTATGTCAGTGGGTTTCCTTAGAAGAAGAATGCACAAAGTCAAAATTCATGGCCACACACTGGGCATTGCATCATCAAGTTCATGCCAGGGAGAGGCAGCCTCGTATGTGAAGCATCTGAGATCCACAGAGTATGCACAGTGGGGCCTATCCTACACCAGTGACAGGTACAGAATATCGAACCAAAATCTGTGCTTCCATTGTCTTGAGAACCAATAATCAGGTCAACTCCTACAATTTCCTGGATCCTGTTGTATCCAAAACTATCACAGAATCACAGTTAATTTACATGTCAAGTGTTGTTTTTTAAATGTTCAACAATATCCAGAGAGAAAAATTAAACCTTTTTGCTTTATTTCAAATACTACATGAGTCCTATCAATCCTTCCCCTCTCAACAAATCTTTATTAATGGGACAATAAGCTGAATATCTGACTTCTAAAATAGTCAAATATTGATCTCCCTGTCCAATCCTAGGATTTCACAGATACCTTTTGATGACCAATTTCTTGTACTTTATCTTGAATTTCCTACATTATTTTGCATTCTAGTAGCATCCATGAAGAAGTCTTATGCTGAATATCTTAGAATAAACAATAGCTGTGAAGTGACAAGTATTGACTATGTAAACTCTGATACTATTATCCTAGCCATCTATTCTTGGTTGCCTTCTTGCATTCTAGAATCCTCAGTGGGAGAGTGTTCTGATAATATTTTCTTCTTTATTTTCCTTCTCACTGGCTTCACATGGTACACCATGCCCAATTCCATCAAGTCTTTTCATACTCAAATACTGTCCTTTTTATGTAAAAGTGCTTTATAAGAGGACTTGAATTCTATTCTCAGCACCCACAGGGAGGTTCACAACTATTTATAAATACAGTTCTAGAGGATCAAACTAAGTATTCTGACCTCTGTGTGCGTGCATGTACACACACACACACACACACACACACACACACACACACACACACACAATACATATTTAAAGGAAGGAAATATTCATTACTAATTTTAAAGCAAAGGAAACCATTCTATGTATATTTAATCACAGAAACTTTTTAGTAAAATAAAATATAATAAGTTAAAACAAAACCTACTACATCAAAGATAGACAAGGCAAAACAACAGGAGGAAAATTCTCCAAGAGAAGGCACAGGAATCATTTGCCCACTCATTCATGGACAATAAAATACTATTTTGAAAGCTATAGCGTAGCTGTCAAGGATCCTCAGGAACCATTTCATCAAAACATGTTTTTTCTTAAGCAAGTAGTATTTGGCTGTACTCTAGGTATCAGGGTATCTAGTCTTCAGTTCTAGGTCATCCAAGGAGTGCCAGGTAAGGATTTTGTCTTGCGGAGCAAGCCTTAAGACAAATCACACATGGGTTGATTACTCCCACAGCTTTGGGCCATGACTGTCATAGCATATTTTGCAGTTAGAAAAGATGATGCATTGAAGATATTTTGGCTTTCTTTGGAGTTAGTGTTTCTCATTTGGTACTATAAAGCACACCTTTCCATGTTAAAGACACTAGAACACAGGCTTAAAATTCTATGTAGGTAATAGCTCAAACTTTCCATGTCAGTGAACCCTGTGGGTATTGTCTTAAGCGATAAGGCTTTGCTGTCAGTGTGTGGAGAAAAACTACTGCCTTAACCACAGCCTGCTGCTTTTTTGGGGGAATTTCTCAGGACCATTTTGGCCAATGATACAACTGAATGTAACCCAGTCCCATTACAGGAAGCTTCATTTGGTGATTAGAGAGGGCCAGGATCAGCCGGTACTTTATCTCTGTCAGTATTTGTAGAATTCATTAATATCACCTTCATATATTTCAGGAAGTTTCAATTGCACCAGGTATCCATACCACATCACAATTTTAGCTGTCATTTTGCACATTTCCTCACTGAACCCTAGTTTTCCTCCTACTCCCAACATAATATTCCTGTTCCACTGCAACCCACCCCCAGCCCCCGTATAAAATCTGTTCTGTTCCCCCTTCCAAGGACACTCATGTGTCATGCTAGTCTCTTCCTCCATACCTCCATACCTAACTTCTGTGTGTCTATGGGTTGTAGCTTGGTACAGAGATAAGAGGATATATAAAATATTTATTTTCCTGTGCCTCAACTATTGTAAGTATTATAACTTCGGAGAGAATGGCATCCTGGCCATCAAAAGCCAGACATAGCTATAGCTGGGAAGGGAAAGGTTTCAAGGCTGTCAGTGGCTAGGCTTCATCTGTAAGGTGTTACAGCTGTGAAGGAAAATGTAATCTGGGTGTTTGAAGCCAGCCTATATCTAAAGCTCAGAAGATAAAGGTATCTTGACCTTCTTAAGCCAGGATATACCTATAGTTCAGAAGGAAAATGGAGACAGAAGTTTTTGTTCTGCCAAGTCCTTGAAGAATTTAGTCCCAAATAAACACTCAGAAGCTAGTATTCATTATAAAGTGTTTGGCCTATTGCTCAGTTGTATTACTAACTAGCTCTTACAACTTAAATTGACCTATAATTCTTATCTATGTTTAGCCATGTAGCTTGGTACCTTTTCTCAGTGAGGCATTCTCATCTTGCTACCTCTGTGTCTGGTGACTCTGTCTCTTTAGATCTACCTACTCCCTTTCTCTATCCCTGTTTTCATTTCCTGCCTATTAAAATCCTGCTTATCCATTGGCTGTAACAGTTTTATTCATCAACCAATAAGAGAAACATTTTCACACCATATCCCCATCATATCCTCTTTTCTGTCTAAATAAAAGGGAAAGTTTCAACACAGTAAAATACATATATCAAGTCAGAATTATAATTAAAATGTTTAGTCCATTAACATTTGGCAAAATTTAAAGAAAATATTCTATCATCTACCCTATCTTTGTGAGTATATAATTTTATATGTAACTTATCTTTTATCATAACTAAGGAAAATCATGACTATCAGTCTTCACCTCCATCAAAGACCCCTGAAGTATAATATATACTCTTTAGAAGCGACAGAGACATGTTACAGCCTGGACAGTCACCAAAAGTTTCTATGTAACATTGGGGCATCCCACTTCAGCCTACAGGCTCAAAATGTTTGGCAGACTTTTTGATGAAGCAGGAACATTGAATGACCATCCTGTCCTTTGACAAGTTCATCATCCAGTTTTCTTTGTAACTTGCCTATCCAGTTTGGGCAGCATGCTTTCAAGCAGTGCAGGAAGAGCAATTTCTTGTCTAAATGGCTATCCCTGTCATGTTAAGGGCAAACTCCATAACTAGTTTCTTTGATGTACATCGTCCTCTCTGACATAATTTGTGTTGCTATGAGCAGTTGTGTCTCATTGTTACGAAAATCCAAATAAACGATTTTTAAATGTGTATGTTCTGTAGGTTTTTGAAAGGTATTGATCAACACCTATCCATTTGAAATATATCTATCTATCTATCTATCTATCTATCTACAAAACCCAGTTGACATACTATAAGATTTTACTGTCATTTGTGACTATCTATAACCTGTATTTAATTATACATTACAGTTTTAAAAGAGCTGTATAAACACAATAGCTAAACAAGAGTAGAATGTGAATACAAAATCGCCCTTAAATTTGTATTAATAAACCAAAATCTATTCCAATGCAAAGTATTTATTTCTATACCATTTCCCACTTTTTCTCTTAGAAAGAAGGACTGCCATCATTAACCATTTAAATCCAACCCTGTTTAAAAGAAGACAAATGTTTATAAACAATATTTGGGAATGTGGGTGTAGTTCTCTCCAGAGTGCTTCCCACTCTCTATCCCATGGAGATCCTGAGAAAACCCAAGAACCTGCAAACTCCTGGCTGTAGTGGTCTGTGATGATGAATGATCTCAACCATTTGGGTTGTTGGATCACCTGGACCACTGCTTCAGGGGTCATGCTTGATCTAACTATATTATCCTAGAAGTAATCCACAGCTTTTCATCTTCTGTGGAAACAAAAGCAGAAACTCCATTCAAATTTAACATGTCCTTTGGCTTAAATTTTGAAGACAAGATATTTTCAAAATATATAGCTTACTTTAATTCAGAAGCATTTATAATCTGAATTCTTTTAGCAGCTGTTGCTCCTTCCTCAGCAGTAACACAATTCAAAGACAACACAATAACAAGCAGTATACAGACTCTGTGCATTTTCCATGTTTACGTGGCCCTTTTATTTTACTATCTTCCTTTTATTTTTATTTTTAATTTTTATTTTATTTTTTTTTTTTTTTGTGAGGCAAGGTTTCTCTGTGTATCTTTGGTTGTCCTGGAACTCACTCTGTAGATCAGGATGGCCTTGAAATCACAGAGACTTGCCTGCCTCTACACTTCAGAGGGCTGGATTATAGGCATGTGCCACTAAGATCAGCTACTGTAATCCCTTTTGAAATACTTTACTATCCATTTGCTTTTTCTCCTAAGCCTACATATATTTTTAAACACACTGTAAACTGTTTAGAAATTTCTTGTTGTTTTCCCCCTGAGTCTGTCTTTACTATATATCTGAATCTTTATCTGACCACATAGGATTATAATCTGCTAAACTGCAGGGCTACGATTAAAGATTGGAACCAGCTGCTGGTTCCAACCAGTTCCAATCTGACTTGGCAGAAGTATGGTTACTGTCAGCTCTGGGAGCCTTGCTTACCACGACTCTGATATATGTCACCATCAAGCAGCTTATAGCACCATGCCTCTAAACCTTTTCTCTCTAAATGAGTAAAAGCTAAATCTTCCATGCTGCATGTTGAGAGGCTTGGAGCGGTGGGAACCTGCCATGCTATGCTCAATCCCAAATGCCACAGTGTCTCTTAACCATGGCCGTCATGAGACCGTGAGACTAGGAAGCCCAGTGAACATTCCTTTGTCAGGTTTTATGTGGAAATTCTTGCCAAACATTTGGGCACCATGTGTAGATGGACATTTCTGTCTCATCCTGTCCTGCAGCTATTTAGTGCTAAATAAACACACAAAAGCTTATATTAACTTTTTGGCTGATGATTCAGGCTTCTTATTGGCTAGCTCTCACTCTTAATTATTAACCCATAGCTATTAATCTGTGTATCTCCACATGGTCTTTTCTTATAGAGGGTGCCTGGGCCTCTTTTTCCTTAGCTGCTACATGGCATCTCCCTGACTCTGCCTACAACCTTTCTCTATCCCTGTTTGGATTTCCAGCTAGGTTAAATTCTGTCTGTCCATAGGCCAAATTAGCTTTATTCACAAACTAGTAATAATAACATACATTCATAGCATACAGAAAGACATTCCCCATCATCCAATATCCAGGTTTGTAAAATAAATGGTTGAGTGGAAGATTATAGGAGACAATGTACAGAAAAGTAGTATATATGATAATTCTATGCATCATCATTAGAAGAGAGAATCACTATGCAATGCATACCTCTTGCTTTGTGTCCTAATAAGTTGTTTTGTATCAACACTACAACATTCAGTTTGAGTTTCAGAAATATTGGTTCAGAAAGATGTTTTGTCCTTTAACATTTGAAGAGAATTTCACTCTAGTCTGAAAAAAATTATGTAGCACTTGGGAACAAAGATGCATCCCTGCACTGGAAGCCAAGAAAACCCTTAAAGCAACCATGACCTTTCCCTTGGTGCTGTGGTAGACAGGGAGGAAGGTGACCCAGAAATTGTGGATCATCATCATGCTGAAGGACATGCACTTGGTTTCATTGAATGTATCAGGGAGATTTCTGGCCAAGAAAGTCACAATGAAGCTCCCTAAGGTAAAGGAGCCATGGTATCCCAAGAGATGGCCATGCTTAGAGTGGGCATCAATATTAACAGAGAGAGGAGAAGCTCCCAACCTGACTGAACAGAAACAGCCACAGTGAATAGTACTCCAAAAGTGATTTGCTGCAGGATGCATGTTAACTGTGTTGGCATGGCCAAAAAGAGCAAGGGACACAAGGAATAAAGATGAGTGAGATGAGTAAAGTGCAGCTGAGATTCTAGTTATTGGCTTTACAATGGGAGTGTCATGGTGCTTCACAAAGACCACAAGAACTACAGATGTGCATTAAGGAAGCACAAGGCCATTAAGGCCAGAGTCATTCCCAAGGGGTCTTCATAGTTCATAAACATCACAGCTTTCCGAATGCACTGGCTCTGATCTGAGTTGGCATACTGTTCCTCTAGACACTTCATACATTGATCTACATCTGATGGAGAAGGGAAAGCATGATTACTGCACTTTCATCATTTTTATTGAATGGACATTTCAATGAAGTGTGTTGCAAAGGCATTGCAATGTCTGCTTTGCTGTATAGTAATACTTTCATTACACAGTATTCATTCATTATCTTTACCTGTCATGAAACCAAACAATCATTATAGTCTCTATTTAAATGTTTGTTAATGAGCTATCTCTGTGGGTCCACTTGGAGTTCCTGCGGGCAAGATCCTTGACCCCCAAATCCTGGCCTCTGCCAAAGAACGAGGTCTCAGCTGGAGAGCGCCAGTTTCCAGTGAGATCCCACTACCCTGCAAAACCTTCTGAAGTTCCAGCTCAGCCCTCGTCCTCTTCAGCCGGCTATTGGCCAGAGGTGAGTCTGGGCCCAATCGGGGCTGCCTGTCCCCTACAACCTCTTTTCCCCCTCCCCCGCCTGAACCCCCTGGGTTGGCCCCTGATCCTGCTGCTCCTGTCTCTGGTCCCCATCAAGAGCACCCTTGGAGCTCTGATACACCCCCACCCATCCCCACCGCCAGCCTACCCCCCCTACCCTGTGCCCTACTCCACCCACGGTCCTGCCGCTCTGGTTGAGCACTGGGACAGAGGGTGGAGCCAACAGTCCACCCTACTTCGGAGACTTCTCGGAGCAACTCTGAACAAAGGAGAACAGACTATCCACGCGGGACCACCTGTAATTTCCACCGGCTTGGTCTCTGACCCCGCCTCCAGTCCTCTGCTGGAGTCCCGGGCCCCTCCCAGAGATCCACCTATCTCTGCGGGTCCACTCGGAGGTCCTGCGGGCAAGATCGGGGAAGTACCATAGAGAGAGGGAAGAGACACCACCAATACCTACTGGAAGAAACTATGGGAAGAAAGCAATACAAAAGAACACCTAACAACAGAAAGACAAACATGACACCACCAGAATCTAGGGAATCTACACCAACTAGAATGGAACACAACAACAAAGCAGAGGAAGCAGAAGGGTACAACTTAAAAATTACCATCATAAAAATGATAGAGGCCCTCAAAGAAGATGTGAGAAAATCCCTTAAAGAAGTGGAGCAAAAAACAAACAAAAAAGTGGAAGAAATGAACAAATTCCTTAAGAAAAGTACAGAAAGCCAAGAAAAAACAATTAACCAGGTGAAGGAAACAGTTCAAGACTTGAAAACTGAAATTGAGAAAATAAAGGCAACACAAACGGAAGGAATGCTGGAAATTGAAAAGCTGGGCAAAAAACCGGCAACCACGGACACAAGCATAACCAATAGAATTCAAGAGATGGAAGAGAGAATCTCAGGCGCAGAAGATAAACTAGAAGAAATAGATTCATCGACCAAAGAAAATCATAAATCCAACAAATCCTTAACACAAAACATCCAGGAAATGTGGGACACCATGAAAAGGCCAAACCTAAGAATAATAGGCATAGACAAAGGTGAGGAAGCCCAGCTCAAAGGTGCCAAAAACATATTCAACAAAATCATCTAGGAAAACTTTCCAAATCTGAAGAAGGACATGCCCATGAAAGTACAAGAAGCATACCGAACCCCAAATAGGCTGGACCAAAGAAAAAAGACCCCTCGACATATAATAATCAAAACACCTAGCATACAGAATAAAGAAAGAATATTAAGAGCAGCGAAGGAAAAAGGACAGGTAACATATAAAGGCAGACCTATCAAAATTACACCTGACTTCTCCATGGAAACCCTCAAGGCCAGAAGGTACTGGATAGATGTTCTAAAAGTATTAAGAGAACACGGATGCCAGCCTAGGCTACTATATCTAGCAAAACTCTCAATCAATATAGATGGAGAGAACAAGATATTTAATGACAAAACCAGATTTTCCCAATATGTATCTACAAATCCAGCCCTATAGAAAGTATTGGAAGGAAAACTCCAACCCAAGTAAGGTAACTACGCCCACAAAAATGTAGGCAACAGATAATCCAACTACACCAGAAACCTAGGGTGAAGCAGAACAAATATATTCACAATACCACTGCCAACAACAAACCTAAATCAAACAAGCATCAACAATCAATGGTCCTTACTCACCCTCAACATTAATGGTCTTAACTCACCTATAAAAAGACACAGGCTAACAGAATGGATACGAAGACAGAATCCATCCTTCTGCTGCATACAAGAAACACATCTTAGCTTCAGAGATAGACATTACCTCAGGGTAAAGGGTTGGGAAATGATTTTCCAATCAAATGGAAATAAGAAGCAAGCAGGCGTAGCTATCCTAATATCTAACAAGTTAGACTTCAAACCAAAATTAGTCAAAAGAGATGAAGACAGTCATTTCATATTCATCTCAGGAGAAATCCATCAACACAAAGTCTCAATTCTGAACATCTATGCCCCTAATACAAAGTCACCCACATTCGTAAAAGAAACACTACTAAAACTCAAAGCTCACACACTTATAGTGGGAGACTTCAATACACCACTCTCAACACTAGACAGGACCACAAATCAGAAACTCAACAAAGAAACAAAAGAATTAACAGAAGTTATGTCTCAACTGGGGTTAACAGACATCTATAGAACATTCCATCCAAAGACAAAAGAATATACCTTCTTCTCTGCTCCACATGGAAGCTTCTCTAAAATCGACCACATACTAGGTGACATAACAAACCTCAACAGATACAAGAGAATAGGAATAGTCCCCTGTATCTAATCGGACCACCATGCTTTAAAATTGCAATTCAAGAACAACACAAATAGCAGAAAACCTGTAAACTCATGGAAACTGAACAATGTGCAATTGCACCACTCCTGGGTCAAAGAAGAAATAAAGAAATTAAAGACTTTCTAATATTCAACGAGAATGAGGATACAACATACCCGAACTTATGGGACACCTTGAAAGCAGTACTACGAGGGAAGTTCATTGCACTAAGTGCCCATATGAAGAAAGCAGAGGATAGTCACATAAGAGAATTAACAGCCCAACTCAAAACCTTAGAACAGAGAGAAGCGAATTCACCCCGCAGGAGTAGATGCCAGGAAATAATCAACTTGAGGGCTGAAATCAACAAAATAGAAACCAGGAAAACAATACAAAAAATCAATGCAACAAAGAGTTGGTTTTTTGAGAAAATCAACAAGATAGACAAACCTTTATCCAAATTAACGAAAAAGCAGAGACAGAACATGCCAATTAACAAAATCAGAAACGAAATGGGGAACATAACAACAGACACAGAGGAAATCCAGACAATTTTCAGGTCATACTTTGAAAATCTGTATTCCACAAAAATTGAAAATTCAAAGGAAATGGACAAGTTTCTGGATAACTATCACTTACCAAAATTAAATCAAGAACAGACAAACAACTTAAATAGACCTATAACTCGCAATGAAATAGAAGCAGTCATCAAAATCCTTCCAACCAAAAAAAGTCCATGGCCAGATGGATTCAGTGCAGAATTCTACCAGACATTCAAGGAAGAACTAATACCACTACTCCTCAAACTGTTCCACAAGATAGAAACAGAAGGTTCATTGCCAAACTCTTTTTATGAGGCCCCAATAACTTTGGTACCCAAACCTCACAAAGACACAACTAAGAAAGAAAACTACAGACCAATATCCCTGATGAACATCGATGCAAAAATACTCAATAAAATACTGGCAAACTGAATTCAAGAATACATCAGAGAAATCATCCACCATGACCAAGTAGGCTTCATACCTGGAATGCAGGGATGGTTTAACATATGAAATTCTATCAACGTGATCCACCATATAAACAAACAGGAAAAGAAAAACCATATGATTATCTCCCTAGATGCAGAAAAAGCCTTCGACAAAATTCAACACCCTTTCATGATAAAGGTATTGGAGAGGTCAGGGATAACAGGAACATACCTAAACATAATAAGAGCAATATACAGCAAACCAACAGCCAACATCAAACTGAATGGAGAGAAACTTAAGCCAATTCCTCTAAAATCAGGAACAAGACAAGGCTGTCCTCTCTCTCCATATCTCTTCAATATTGTACTAGAAGTTCTAGCTAACGCTATAAGACAACAAAAGGAGATCAAGGGGATCCAAATTGGAAAGGAAGAAGTCAAACTGTCTCTATTTGCAGATGATATGATAGTTTACATAAGCGACCCAACTTCCTTAATAAAATAACATATTCTAAAGCACAGATCAACCCAAGAACAGAGATGGTGAGTGATTCAATACTCCGATTTCAGCAATAGACAAATAATATGAAAAAGAATAGAGAAATTCTGAAGTCAAAGGACATCATAAGTCTTTGTGTCATTATATTTAACACACTGTGCATTTCTAAATCTGTAGAAAATGCTGTATTTACAGAAATTACTGTTTTCCCACTATGCATACAGCAGCCTTCAATAACATACTCACGTGAAACAATACTTTCAAAATGTCCTCAATATGAGCATTCTGGATCAGAAACGTTATGTTTTATACCAACCGATGGGCTTTGATGCTCAACATTTTGAGAAGACAGTTGCCACACAAAATATATTAGTTCAGAAACTTTAAAAATCATCCATAGAGCTTGGTTGTTCTAAATTTGCACTCCTTTAATATAAAACTATACACATTGAATGCAAAAACACAAAACTAAATGGAACAATAGTCTTTTTCAGAGGAAATACACAAGCTTGGAGCTTGGCATTTTGTTCTCTTGGGAACAGAGATAAAAACACACTATGCACAACTCAATAGAAGTTTATATTCTCCCCAAAATCTATTAAATATGACAATTTCAATAAAAGGTATTCACAAATTGTGTTTTTTTATTAGGTCTATCCACAAAGTATGTATGGTACTTACAAAGTATGGTACTTAAGAACATATAAAAAGATATTTCTAAAATGATGTTATTGTTAAATATGTATGTAGTGAGATAGTTCTGTGGCACTGACCACGCCCATTGGGGGTGGAGCCATGGGCGGAGTGACCTGTGGAAGGAGGTCGCACTGACCACGCCCATTGGGGGTGGAGCCATGGGCGGAGTGACCTGTGGAAGGAGGTCGCACTGACCACGCCCATTGGGGGTGTGGAGCCATGGGCGGAGTGACCTATGGAAGGAGGTCGGAGGGGGCCAGGAAAGGCGCTCTCTTTCTGGTGTGACTTGGACAGGAGAGGATCGGGTTGAATTTCCTGGTGTTCATCTGTCTAGGTTGTAAGTTATTTCTCCCTGAATAAACATCTATTCGGCCTATTTGTTTATCCTGATCCTTATTTACCACGATATATGTAAGTATTTATTTGGGTTCTCTTAAACTTTGTATAAAGACCATGCCTGCCTTGAAAACCTGTCTGTGACACACAAATGTTCAGGTTATAGGTGTGCAACAACAGAATAACCAGCAACGTATACAAGGTTTACCATAAAATGTATAAAATATAATTAAAATCAAAAGGATACATTTATCTCAATAATTTAACCATTGTACATTTTTACACATGATGAAATATCATCCTCTGTAGCATAAATAGATATTGATGTCATGATGATAAATATATTCAACAATTGCTTGACATTTTAGGAGCTTTATAAATATTACCGAGAACTATGATAATTCCAAACTTAAAGAAATTAGTACAAATATTTGAGATTAAACAGAAAGAGTGTGCTATTTCTGAAAACTATTGTTCTTGTACTTGATAAATAATAATATTTTAAAAATGTTACAATTGTGCCAGAAATCATGGATTTTCTTCAGTAGAAAAATAGGTAAAGAGAAGTATTCTTTGTGGGTTGCTAAATGTTTCCCGCCTCACATAATTTACACTCTATAGAAAAAGAGATAAATAGACTCTGCACAATTAAAAGTTCAGGTTATTTTACACCTTCAGATTGACCTACTGTAAAGATCTTAAACAAACCTCACATTCTAGAATATTGCCTAGTAAGTTGCATCCAGATATTTATGTCCTTCAATTTGAAAAATACTGAAAACATGGTGAATATCTGCAGTAAACTAGAAATAAATCTTAAAATTTGAATTTTATGTTCATCTTATAAATAAATTGTCTCAAGTTATTTAAATATAAATGTATATATAATTGATACAATGCAACTTGCACATCCAAAATCAGCAATATTTTTAAGTTAATGTAAAGGAAAAGCAATCCCATTACAGTGAGAAAGACTGCTATTATTACTTTGAAGGGAAATTAAAAGATTCTGTAATGTTCATATATATATGTGCATATGTAGACTAATATGCCTACTCAGATAGGAGGCATTTTTTGTATCTACTAGACATTATTCTGTACCTACAAAGTACTTATTTACCATCTTTTCACAACAAGAAACTAAAATAAAATTAGAATATTAGACCACACAAAAACTATGGTAATAGAACATAATGCTAGCCCTGCAATTGCTGATCTTTTGTAGTTATGGAAATTAAGATAAATATACATATGTAGATACAATTGGAACATGAGGAAATTTAACCAGAAAAAAAATCCACTTTTCAAATTGCATACAGAGTTTCCCACACATAAGCAAAAAAAAAAAAAAAAAAAAAAAAATTATCAAAGTATGAAAGCCTTTGTGAGCCTTGAAGAGTATATGATTGATTGCATCTATCCCACTCTCTATGAAAAGTATAATTTGAAAATTTGTTGTCTAAATCAAGCATGATAACTTTTATAGTGTTTATAATTGTAAATTTATTTTAGTTTTACTTCCATAAGACATTAAATCACACACAGTACTCTCTACTTTTTCATATTAGACAACCCTGCTACAGAGAGCTCAAATTATAACAATCCCTTTGCAGGCATGAGGTTGCTGCTATATAACCCGGAGAGCAACTCAGGCTGATGCACAGTGGTGCCTGGGCTGCTCATATGTAAGAGTAGAGAAAAGGAGGAACAGGGAGGAATGGGGACATCATCTGCTATAAAGCATAAGAGTCTCCTTCTAGCAAGCAAAGCCAAATGTCTGATAGTAAGCAGTGATCCCTAGTGCCAGTAGACTCTTCCACAGAATATTTCTATCTAGATACACATTTTTTAAGTATCCCCAGCTGCCTGCATTATGTCCATTTGAGACTAAACCTATTACAACAGCCTCATGTCTAATGACATTTCACACTTGTACATTTTCCCTCTTCCACTGCTGAACTGATGACTTAATCCACAACCACACTGCAGCAGACACAGTAATGCCACACAGACAATAATCCATCAGTCCTGTTCTTATTTTAGGTGTTTTCCTACCCATTGCTGCCAATCTAATTCTTGTATATGTATTTCCATGTTGCTCATGTTCAGTTCCAACTTGACTGCAAAATGCACTTCTCATTTTCAGTTACATGTTGTAACTATGAGCATATCAGCCTGGAATAAAATACTCCTGACATATTTTTAAGCCTCACATACATGCTGTTTCTTTTTAACAAGACCGAAGATACTCAATTAAACTTGTCTGACACTACGCATTAATCTTTCATCTTTGATAATGATTAGAAACATTTCTCAGAGGCCTCACCACAATTAATGGGTACACCGAAAGACATTCATGACAACAATACAAATTGTATTGTATTTTCATGGACCAAATAGGAAACATGTAAGTTATAGGATTATACAAATATTAGAAGTCAGATAGAAGAATTTGAAACTGATGAAGGCATTTCTAAAGTAGAAAGTTGGTTCCAGTGTCTAATTCTGACATTCCTGCTTACAAATCTTCAGCAGGAAACACACATATTGCTTGTCATTCACACACAAGAGAATCGATGGTCACTAACTTTGGTGGCATCAGCTCTTCTCACAGGATCACTGCTAGACTTCTCGAGTCCCCTCAGTCTCTACTAACCTTCCATTATGAAATCCATCTCCAGCAGAACTAATATTGAAAATATCCAAATCCTGAGCATTTACATGCATTGCAGGGAATATAGAGGAAATCCCCAGTGTCTACGGTGGAAAAGAAAATGAATAAAACCCAAATTCCCATTCCCCTCTGAAGTCATAAGATGAGTCACTAAGAAGACAGCACCACAGAAGAGATCTAGGAATTCAAGAGAGAAAATGCCTTATTGGGATTAGGAGAGGATAATGATGTTTGAACCCATATTTCCCTAGGGCATGTGGATGTCAAATTTACATAATGAATAAATGGGAAAAAAAGACATACTCAACCATAAATTCTCTGTTAAATTTAGTCATCCTCCAGTCAATTGTTCTATTGAGTGGATAGATAGCATAAGCTGGAAAAAAAACAGAAATGGCCACATTTCCTTTACCATTTAAACGGTAATTCATTCTGACTAAGCACTCATTGCTGTTGTAGGAGCATACAAAAGTAGGAATCTGCAGAAAGCAAGAGATAAAAATCCAAGAGAACAGCATATTAGCAAAGTATCTGGCCATCCGTGAGCATGACAACAGGAACTCAAGTATACAGCAAGTATATGCACAGCTCATATGTGTGTGCATGCTTGTTTATAATTTTATTGGTGACCCTAATTATCATTGGAATCAACCCAAGTACTTTCTGACAATATTCTTCACTCCCCTGTGGAATTATCTTACACTTTCTCCCTTTAGGCTTTAAATCTGAGACCCTGAGTTAACAATAACATACAAGATGGATGAAAAATATTTTCGCCAGCCACAGGCAGTATGATTTCATCTAATACCAGGTAGAACCTGTCCCAAGGCACAAAATTCTCTTAGTGGAAATGGCCATAAGTGTGAACCAAGAAACTACTCATGGGAAAGCCATTTATGATGAGACAAACATGTTAAACCAGATGGTGCCATAATAGAAGAAAGGAAAAATGGTCAGAAAAGGCTGATGCCAGGCACAAGGAAGTCACAATAACAGGCATGATGCTCAGTAGAACCAGACACTATCAATAGTTTTGATTTCCAAGGATTCTAGAAGTGACAGAATATTCCTTCTTCCAGAAATATATTTCTGAATGGATATATTGTATTGATAGCCCAGTCTAAATAGTCTGTGTTTCTTTCTGATGTAAATAATTGTTTTTTAAAATTGATTTCTAAATTATCAACTTTATGTCAATGAAAAGATCAGGTTTCCTGTTTTAATCTGAAATTTGACTTTCTGTAATATTCTTTTATCCACTATGAATGACAGAATCAATATATTATCACAACACCCTCTATTCCTAGATTATTTGGTCCATCCACAACTTTAATTTTGAGTCCTTAGTGGCATTATGAGATGTAATACCTTATAAATACATCTAGGTGGAAGTTGTTTCATTTGGCCATTTGCTGTGAGCAAAGTTGTCAGGAGAAATGCTGTTCACTTTCCAAAAGCCCAGGGATGAGTTAAATCAATTACTCTACTGTGTGTGGCGCTGTAGCCATGATGCATGTTAATGTAAACATGACAGCAATGACAACTATGCACATCGTTAAATGTAAATCCTGTGTGAACAATGACTTCTATTCGATAATGATGGATGTGTGTTATTGGATTTGGACACAGCTTTGTGAGACTCACTACCCTTCCCTACATCATCTACTTTAACAGCCTGTCTAAAGGAGCCACTCCCCCACACTACCTCCATTTCCTGAGGACTCCATGTATTACCCTTAACATTTGCTGTCCATTGTTTTATTGATTTGTGCTAACCTGACTGGGATAGGATGAATTGTTAAAAAATTGTATTTGCATTTTCCCAATAGTTGTTGATGATGATCATTTTTGGGGATATAGTCCCCTCTATCTTGCTCTCCTATTGGCCAACAGTGATTTATTTATTAACCAATAAGAGAAACATATTTACATAGTGACATCTACCATCAATCTTAGCCATTATTTCATTCTTTTGAGAATGGTCAGCAAAGATCCCAGGCCCAATTTATTTGTATTTTATTAATCAATAAATTAATTTTTCCAGCCCTATCATAGCTTCCTCTTCTTCCTCTCCTCCAAGTATTTCTCTCAGCACACCCCATCCACTTCCTCTCTTTTGCCTTCCATGAACATCAGCCGGTCCCATGACCATTTTTAAAAGTGGTCAGCTATTTATTTGACTCATACTTTCTTGAAATTTTATTTTTCTTTTTTATCCTGGATAGATTTCTTTGGAGAAATGGATAGTCAGCAAAGGCTCTCTGCTATTCTGTGGGCTTCCTTTTCACCTGGTTGATGGTTTCTTTAGCCATGAAGAAGCTTTTAGTTTTATAAAATTCTACCTGTCAATTGTTGGGTATAATTTTCCAGCAAAGGGAGGCCTATTCAGACAGTCTTTTCCAACACTGGTAGCATGTGTGGTACTGCCCATGCTTCCAGCTGTTTCAGTGTTTCAGGTTTAGGTCTTTCTGTCATCAAATTGGAGTCCATTGTCATGCTAGGTGATAGATACTGTCTCAATTCATTCTTCTGCATATGGACTTCCAGTTTTCTCAGCACCATTAGTTGAATATGTTTTCTTTTCTCCAGCATGTTTTTAGCAATGTTCTCAAAAATGTTTTTTTTTTCATGCCAGTGACAAAATGCTTTTATTACTATGGTTCTGCACTATGTCCCAAGATCTGGAATGGGAAACCCTATATTTGTTCTGGATTATCTGGGCTGTCTGGCATCTTTTGTGATTATATATGAATCTTAGGATAGTTCCTTTTCTGAAGAGATTGAGAATTAGATTGAGATTATATGGAGCAACTCTCTGAACAAAAACAAATTAATATTTTAACCCCAAATCATTTTTTCCAGTCCACAAACTTTTGCTATGACTCAAAGGTATGACTCTACTCCAGCAGTTTATTGATCTCTTTTTCAGAACTTAAAAGAATTTATGTATTCTTCATGGAGTCACAACTTGAACCCCTGTCACAGGTCAAATGGACTCCAGATAAATCATCTGGTCATGTCAATTAACAGACTCAGCTTCATTGCTTATTGAGCTTCATTGCTTATTCATGAGGAGGAAGCTCTAACAAGACTTTCCTTAAGTTCTTTAATTTTAACTCCTGTCACTAATCTGCATCTTATGCAGCAGATTTATACTCAGCTGTTAGATACCATCCATAAATCATGTGTGGACTACAAACTGCTCCAAAACTAGTCTACACCATGACAGCCCCAGGCAATCCTGGGAGAAACTTGGACTTGCTGAGAGCTGATGTCAACTAGTTCAGTCTGTGTGATTGCTTCTCACGATTGTTCTGTTTCCCTAATTCCCTGCCAGTGTTTCACTAACATTCTTTCCTTTTTAAGCCTCAATGGATGACAGCATCCTAATTTCATCAGAGAAAATTCCAGAAAAGGGCAAAACACCGCTTATCTTCAACAGAAGGTGTGAATATTTGGTCCAGTCAAAGGAAATGGGCAAATGGCTACATAGAATGCCTATTGACATACCAAAACACATAGTGGATTTCAAGATCCCTCATTATCAAAAAGGTACCAGTTAAAATCAAATAGTCGTAGCTCTATCACTAGAGAGACTCATTAGCTGAAGTAGTTCAGCAATATGAGGACAACGTTATGGAATGTTGATTTATCTGTGTAAGGTGTGTCGCATTTGTTCATGCTGCATTTGTTTAATGATGTCAGGATGCGTTACACTTGTTTATCTTGCATTTGGATAACTATGTAGGGATGCGTTTTTTGTTTCTCCTTGTGTTCCTAAGGCACCTTATTGGTCTAATAAAAAGCTGATTGGCCAATAGCTAGACAGGAAAGGGATAGTGAGAACTGTCAGTCAGAGAGAATAAATAGAGAGTAGAAAAAAAGAAGAAAATAGATACACCACCCAGAGCCTGCCATCCCCCCATCCTTTGTCCTGATGGCCCACTGCTCCGGGTGAGCACTGGGCCAGAGT